TATGTACAAACTATGTACCTCCAGTGGCCTGCAGATCTTCTAGACATCTTTTCATTTTGTCCCAGGTTTTAGTCAGCATATCCTGAGATGTAGACGCCACAGAATTCCTGAATCTATCCCGCAAGTCTGTGTAAATTATGAACCAGGGAAGAATAGACAATGTTGTTGACAAATACCCACAAAAAGAAACCCATTGGGGGTTACATGGTGGGAACGAGGTGGCCATTTGGTCGGGCCATCACGCCCGATCCAGCGCCCGGGGAAATGAAGTTTTAAAAATTCCCTCACGGATTTAGCCCAATGAGGTGGAGCGTCTTCTTGCTGGAAAATTATCATAAGTTGCAGTTCTTATAATTGGAGGATTACATACAACTCAAACATAACCAAGTAAACCAACCCATTTACATTTTCTTCGGTAAAGAAAAATTATCCGATGATTTCATCATGCATTACCCCACACCAAAGATTAGTTTTGGACTGGCCCTTTCATTTTCAATCACGGTCCTGGGATTTTAGCTCCCCCAAATTCAACAATTATTGTGTCTGTTAACCTTCCCACTTAAATGGATAGTCGTTGAACTGCAATAGGGGATTGGGTTTTGTGAAACAACAACACAAACTGTGATTTCTCACCATTTGTGTAAACTCACCATTTCTGATTTGCTATTATATTGAATCATGATTGTATTGTTGTCAATCAGCTGTGTTACGGTATTACCAATTTTATTAAATAAAACTTGATTAAATTCCCTTCAAAACAAGGCATACAAGCTAAGTTTGGCTCTAATGGTTTTAGTACAGCAAAGCTATTAAATCAGACCAAGACTTTGTGGACACCCGGTAGACTTATGTGATGAAAAACCTACTGAAGCCCTTTTTTAACATATATCCCTGAATCCAAAAACCTAGGCCCTTGTTCCCTATGTTATATCCTTTACCTGCATTTACTTTTTTGATCGGTTTTGAGTTAAATCCTATTTTGTCACTTTGTTACCATAAGGCCTAGGTTTATCGAGTCATGTAAAAATTATATGTTTGCAAAACCTTACTTTTTTTAAATTACTATCTTTATTATTTATCTCATTTGAAAAGAAAGTTTTAAGAGCTATCCAGTGTGAGGAGATGGAGAATGGAGAATCCGCCAAAACCAAGAGTTAAGAGAATCATTCCGAGACCCTGATATTGTAGGAGAGGACAATAACCAAAAACAGAAGGCTAAGGTAGGTTGGCCATATCTTGAAGAGAAATGAGGAGAGCTTGTTGAAGAAGGTACTAAGGGGAGATCCGAGGGGAAGGAGACCAGTAGGAAGACCAGAGGCCAGGTGGTGGGATAAAGTCCGGTAATATATGGAAACAATGAGACTCGTAGAGGAAGATTCGGAGGACCGAGAGAACTGGCCACAATGTGTTGGCCAGGCCAAGTACCAGCTTGGGTACAAGTGGCCATGGCAGTAAGCAGTATTATTTATCAATTAAGGTTTTCATTCAAATTTGAGCATACTGGTACTTCAATTTGACTTGTTTGTATTGTACTAAGCTCACCTTAAAAGTACAGGTTGTAAATTTTGTTAACAAACACAGTCCAAACTTATGCCATTTTGTCCAGTCTAAAAATTTAAGGTAAAAATAATTTGATATCCCGTCTTAAAGTCAAAATTTCTGTCCTACAGAGGATTCTAAAACTTATGGGAACAAACAAAACCACTTATAACAAGGGTTGAAGCAACAGAGAAGGGAACGACATCATGAGAAGGAGCAACACCACTTATGAGAAGGATCAACACCACTTATGAATGAGAGGGATCAACACCACTCATGAGAAGGAACAACACCACTCATGAGAAGGATCAACACCACTTATGAATGAGAGGGATCAACACCACTCATGAGAAGGAACAACACCACTCATGAGAAGGATCAACACCACTCATGAGAAGGATCAACACCACTTATGAATGAGAGGGATCAACACCACTCATGAGAAGGAACAACACCACTTATGAATGAGAGGGATCAACACCACTCATGAGAAGGAACAACACCACTTATGAATGAGAGGGATCAACACCACTCATGAGAAGGAACAACACCACTTATGAATGAGAGGGATCAACACCACTCATGAGAAGGAACAACACCACTTATGAATGAGAGGGATCAACACCACTCATGAGAAGGATCAACACCACTCATGAGAAGGAACAACACCACTTATGAATGAGAGGGATCAACACCACTCATGAGAAGGATCAACACCACTCATGAGAAGGAACAACACCACTTATGAATGAGAGGGATCAACACCACTCATGAGAAGGATCAACACCACTCATGAGAAGGAACAACACCACTTATGAATGAGAGGGATCAACACCACTCATGAGAAGGAACAACACCACTTATGAATGAGAGGGATCAACACCACTCATGAGAAGGAACAACACCACTTATGAATGAGAGGGATCAACACCACTCATGAGAAGGAACAACACCACTCATGAGAAGGATCAACACCACTTATGAATGAGAGGGATCAACACCACTCATGAGAAGGATCAACACCACTCATGAGAAGGATCAACACCACTCATGAGAAGGATCAACACCACTTATGAATGAGAGGGATCAACACCACTCATGAGAAGGAACAACACCACTCATGAGAAGGAACAACACCACTTATGAATGAGAGGGATCAACACCACTCATGAGAAGGAACAACACCACTCATGAGAAGGAACAACACCACTCATGAGAAGGAACAACACCACTCATGAGAAGGAACAACACCACTCATGAGAAGGAACAACACCACTCATGAGAAGGATCAACACCACTTATGAATGAGAGGGATCAACACCACTCATGAGAAGGATCAACACCACTTATGAGAAGGATCAACACCACTTATGAATGAGAGGGATCAACACCACTCATGAGAAGGATCAACACCACTCATGAGAAGGATCAACACCACTTATGAGAAGGAACAACACCACTCATGAGAAGGAACAACACCACTCATGAGAAGGATCAACACCACTTATGAATGAGAGGGATCAACACCACTCATGAGAAGGATCAACACCACTTATGAATGAGAGGGATCAACACCACTCATGAGAAGGATCAACACCACTCATGAGAAGGATCAACACCACTCATGAGAAGGATCAACACCACTCATGAGAAGGAACAACACCACTCATGAGAAGGAACAACACCACTCATGAGAAGGATCAACACCACTTATGAATGAGAGGGATCAACACCACTCATGAGAAGGATCAACACCACTTATGAGAAGGATCAACACCACTTATGAATGAGAGGGATCAACACCACTCATGAGAAGGATCAACACCACTTATGAATGAGAGGGATCAACACCACTCATGAGAAGGATCAACACCACTCATGAGAAGGATCAACACCACTCATGAGAAGGAACAACACCACTCATGAGAAGGATCAACACCACTTATGAGAAGGAACAACACCACTCATGAGAAGGATCAACACCACTTATGAATGAGAGGGATCAACACCACTTATGAGAAGGATCAACACCACTTATGAATGAGAGGGATCAACACCACTTATGAGAGGGATCAACACCACTCATGAGAAGGATCAACACCACTTATGAATGAGAGGGATCAACACCACTCATGAGAAGGAACAACACCACTCATGAGAGGGATCAACACCACTTATGAGAGGGATCAACACCACTCATGAGAAGGATCAACACCACTCATGAGAAGGAACAACACCACTCATGAGAGGGATCAACACCACTTATGAGAAGGATCAACACCACTTATGAATGAGAGGGATCAACACCACTCATGAGAAGGAACAACACCACTCATGAGAAGGATCAACACCACTTATGAATGAGAGGGATCAACACCACTCATGAGAAGGAACAACACCACTCATGAGAAGGATCAACACCACTTATGAATGAGAGGGATCAACACCACTCATGAGAAGGATCAACACCACTCATGAGAAGGATCAACACCACTCATGAGAAGGAACAACACCACTCATGAGAAGGAACAACACCACTCATGAGAAGGAACAACACCACTCATGAGAAGGATCAACACCACTTATGAATGAGAGGGATCAACACCACTCATGAGAAGGATCAACACCACTTATGAGAAGGATCAACACCACTTATGAATGAGAGGGATCAACACCACTCATGAGAAGGATCAACACCACTTATGAATGAGAGGGATCAACACCACTCATGAGAAGGATCAACACCACTTATGAGAAGGATCAACACCACTCATGAGAAGGATCAACACCACTCATGAGAAGGATCAACACCACTTATGAATGAGAGGGATCAACACCACTCATGAGAAGGATCAACACCACTTATGAATGAGAGGGATCAACACCACTCATGAGAAGGATCAACACCACTTATGAATGAGAGGGATCAACACCACTCATGAGAAGGATCAACACCACTTATGAATGAGAGGGATCAACACCACTCATGAGAAGGATCAACACCACTTATGAATGAGAGGGATCAACACCACTCATGAGAAGGATCAACACCACTTATGAGAAGGATCAACACCACTCATGAGAAGGATCAACACCACTCATGAGAAGGATCAACACCACTTATGAATGAGAGGGATCAACACCACTCATGAGAAGGAACAACACCACTCATGAGAAGGATCAACACCACTTATGAATGAGAGGGATCAACACCACTCATGAGAAGGAACAACACCACTCATGAGAAGGAGCAACACCACTTATGAATGAGAGGGATCAACACCACTCATGAGAAGGAACAACACCACTCATGAGAAGGATCAACACCTCTGTTAGAACATCACTCGTGGAAAAGGAATCCCCGACTTGATGCGACCAGATTCAATTTGCTGCAGCCAACAAAGTCAAATCTACATACCGTAACTGTTTTTATACATGTGTATAACAGGTGATCATCCTACCTTGGAAAGTCCGATCCTGTGGCTGGCCGAGTCAATGTCCAGAACTGTGGTCATCTCTTCTACAGCAGCCTTCTCCTGGTTGTCGTGCAATGTGACAGTTGGACAAAGGAGATGAAACCTTCTGGTGAACTCTCTGTGAGACATTGACTTGGGGAAACCTTGGCGGTAAAGTCTTACAGCATCCAGAACTCTGAACCCGCGAATCTGAAAACGATCCAAGTTGCACAATGGTTAGAAACTTTATGTTTATGATCCATACCATTTCATTTCTGTTCTATTATTCGTGGCTTGATCAAATTTACAAAATATTCCAAAATAACTTGAAAAAGGTTATTTTACATTCGTTTTAGATTTTTCAGGAAAATTTTCACAGCTGACAACAGACAAAGAAAACATCTTTAATTAATACAAGGGCTATCCAGAAAGTAGATAACGTTTTTGACTGTATCCGCTAGGATAATCTACTTTCTGGATAGCCCTCGTAGAAGATCTTAAGGGGTACGTGCAAAGAAAAGAGAAAGAGGGTTTCAATATGAACAATTTGATGAAGTGAGTAAAGAGGATTACGATTATAGTTTTATGATGAATTTAAGATATCTAACATACCTGCATTCTAACTAGAGGAATGTTGATGAGTGTATCAGGGGGGGAGGTGTCAGTTAGTCCAGCAGTACGATGAGGCAGTAGACACTGGACAAACTTGATCCTTGTACGCTTGAGTGTGTCTATCAGACCGTCCTGCAACCAAACCAACTTAGATAACAAACAAAACCAACTGAGTTTATACTGAAATGTGACATCTTTTCTCCTATTTTAATAACATTAGCAATAATGAGTTCTTAGGTTAGCTGCTAAAGTGGAGGAAAAATGTTTTTAGAAAAATGTTAATAACTTAGTAAAAAATAAATAAATTTGTTCAAAATACATCCATAAATGAACAATCTTAACAGTTGTCTTTTTTCATAAGAATAACAGATGAATTTAAAATGTAAATTTTTTTGAAATTTTCTTTGCAACCATTGGGTGTACAAAAACACTTTGATACGTTAAATTATTGGTTTTCAAGCACTAAATAATGGTTCCAAAACAAATTGTGTAATTCTATGTTTTCAGAACGCAACTACCATGTATAGTAAAGCAAGGCCACACTAAAAAGCAGGCTGTAATGGTCGTCAAGCATGAAGTCATGATAGAAGACGGCAATGACGTGATGTTTGCCGTTTGTGATCAGCTGCTTGTTTTAATCTTTCCTTTGAAAATAAATAAATAAATACCTACGTCATTGCCGTCTACTATCATGACGTCATGCTTGACGAGCATTACGGCCTGTTTTTTTTTTTTTTAGTGTGGCCTTGAGTAAAGACTACCTGTGTTGATCTATTCAGTGACTGTTTAACCAATAGAAATTGTAAAAACAAAATCAAAATATTAAAACGTTCATATTTCTAGCATAAATGGAATCAGTTAATACATAGTTACTCACCACTGTAAACTTAAGCTGCAAGGAGAATGACTTGTGTTTAAGAGGGGAGGTGGCAGAGCGATGCATGGTCGAGCCCTTCCTTAGTGTTTGGTAACCCTCCAGTCCTACGATAGAACCCGTCAGTGTACTTGTCAATCCAGCTCCCCAACTCTTCACAAACATCTCACTCACTTCCTTCCTGAAGAATCACAATCAGAATCACAATATGTACTGACTGTATATAGTAGGCCTACTAACAAGATCATGATTATAATCTCAGTTGAACCTTGTTTAACTATTGTCTATATCAATTGAAAAAGATATAACCAACCAACCAAAAAATGGTCAATATTAAATGGTGGCATTTGTATGAAACAATTTGAAACGCTTGTTGCACAGAGAAGTAACGCACAAAGGAAACATTCAATATGTACTTAAGTGGTGTCTAGCCCTACTCGTTGGTGTCTAGGGCAAAGTTAAACACCTCTACTTGCCATTATGTACAGCAACGCTCTCAGTGGAGAAAGACCCCCACAGTGCTTGCTGCTTGGGTTCTTCCTTGCTCGTCAGTATATTTCCAGCACAACATATTATAGTTGAAAGCGCGTAGTCATCTAATAAGCAACTTTCCTCTGTACCTCTCCTCTCTGTGACGTGTGAAACAAGTCTTAGGACGTGGGGCAAGAAATGGTCTAAGATTATACTTACTTGAATGACTCCTTGAGAAGTGAGCCGGCTGTGCGAATCAGAGGATGATCGACGCATTGTCTACGCCAGCCTGCCATGGAGTATACAACCGGAGTATTGGAGCCGCAGTGGAGTAGAGTTATCTGATCTAGAGCTGGACCTTTCTTGATCAACCCGTCATTCTCTGTGGAATCAATCAGATTAAACAAATTTTAATCTGCCAGAAGACAGGTAAGTAACTTTTAAAAAAAGATTTAATTTCAATAACATATTTATTTTTTATAGCATTTTGAACTATAACAGTATTTTTATTTAGTACTTGATTCTCACAAACACGTTTTTTTCCTAGGACACTAGGTTCTAGTTCGGTATCGTTTTTCACATTACTTCAAGCTAGGCTAGGAGTTGTGGCATTATCACTTAGCTAAAATAATTAATGATTTGGTGGGATTTGAACCCGGGACCTCAGGGCCTAAAGTCCCGTGCCTACCACTAGACCAGCTTGCTCCCCCAAGTGTACTAACACATACATAATTATAGATTTAGATGAATGATGTAACATTGACTATAGAGCACAAGGGCCTGGCCTGGGTTTAGGGTTTTTTTGTGGAGATTGCAGGCCTACTTGAATGGTAAAGAGTCCAACCAGGAACAATAAACACAAATGTGTTACTACACAACAAATTTGTTTAGTTTGAATGACTCACCTCTGATGACATTGAAGAGTTTGTCTACGAGGGCCAGGTCAGTGACGGAGGCGTCCGAGGACAGATCATCCAGCAGCCAGAACAACCCCCGGGAGTTGGAGCTGGAGTTGGAGTCTAGAGCAGATAGGAGTTGCCTACTTGACTCACAAACTCCTCCCTCCTCTTCTCCATCCAGCAAACTCACTTGTTCCTGCACAACAGTAAACATGTAACCATTCATGGCAACTGTCTGACAAATCGGATGGTCTTAATGTTGGGTAAAATTAACTTTTCCTATGCTTAGAGTTTTGACTATGAATATTCATGTAATCAGTCTTTGAACGGTACAGAAAATTGTAATTGACATCATTATCATAGTAAAGGGATTAAAGCTACAATACTTATACTGTATACTAAAAACTAACATGAAAAAAATAAAAGGTGCCATTCATCCAACAGTACACTGCGCTTTTAAGTACATTTACCTAACTACCCTTTTTATTTAGGGTATCACATGTTTTTAGAAGAGTAGGTAAATGTGGATATTAAGGTCACTTGAAAATGGAAGGTTTTCCCTTAACTCCCGTAACACAGTGCAGTCAAACACTTGATAAAGTGCATTTTACCTAACAATAACATTATAATAACTATCCTTCGGAATTTTAAACCGCCTAACCTAACCTGTAATCTGCAATGTACTTTAATGAGGTGGACCGATGCTTCTAGATGTCGAACAATGTAGCTCACCCTTGCTATTCATGCAGAGACTAATAAGCTCTTCAGAGCAGCAAAAACATTAGTATAAGGAAGAAGTAAATGATTTTGAAAATAATATTAATAGCTTAAAAAATGTAGCTTACTGTTATTGTTATGTTTGTATAAGTGTACTTTGTGACCTCTCAATTTTGGACGATTATTTTTATGTTACTAACTCGGGTAATATTTTCTACATACCTGTAGATATTGCTCCCTTGGAGCCACGATACTCCTATGTTGGAAGAGTTGGTTGATTCTCTCGGCCAGGTAGTTGATGTAGAGATTGTAGAAAGCTACACTGTCACCATGAGAGCTCTGTTGTTGGAACCCTGGGCTATCCACGACCAGTAGGGAAAAGACTGTGTGAACCTTCATGGTGATACATCTGGGGAAGATTATCATTATCAATATTGTGTGCCAATTGTTTAATACACAAGCATCTACAATACTCCAACTATCTGAATCACCTTTTATCCAAATCTCTTACAGAAAGAATTATAAAATCAAAAACATAGAGCTAGAGTAATTAAAATCGTCATAAAAGAAGGCAGAAGTCCTTAATTGCAGCAAAATCTTGAACATCTCCCGCAGTAGTGCAGACATCATCGTCTCCCGCATCAGCAAAAACATCACCATATAGTCTTTTGTGATCACGGCAAAATCTTGAATAGCTCCTGCAATCTTGTAGACATCATCATTGACTCCCACAGTCATAAAAACATAATCATCGTCCACCACAAATGTGACAAAAGCGTGAATTTTTTAATTGTGAAATCTAAAAAAATAATTAGGCCTACCCAAAACTTTGGTAGAACCCACTCACTCACTCCCATGGTATAAAAACCCAGCTATTAAAAATTTTGACTAACTGAATGCAGTACGGTCAAAATTAATTTTTATGGTTGGAGTTCATTCATGTCCAGTAGAGTAACCTTGGCTCCTGTCTTGTGATATCTACTGATCCCTCCCTGTGCTCATGTAACCTCTGTTATACACATTTAAACTTATCATTACATAAATACACCCAAAATGTGAACTATCAAGTTATAAAAGCATGAACATTGTTCATGGTCCAATTCCTAGTCGTTTACATGAAAGCTACCAGCTCTTCTTACAGAAAAACAAGCCAAATTTAAATATTACCAATCTGCAAAAACTGTATACATATTTTTTTTAATCTCTCGGTATAAAGATTGAATCCAGTACAATCTTGTTTAGTAAAATTGTTTCGACATAACAAAAACCTGTGATTTTTTTATCAGGGGAGGAAAATACTTGACAATAATATTTACACATCACAATCAATTTCGAAATGGCAATGAATCACCAAGCAGGTATGCAGAATTACAGTAAGTAACAGGTATACAGTCACGGAAAGCCAACTCAGTTGTGGAAAACTGCAGAAACATGATCAAACAAAATCACCACTCAGTTATGGATTCATGCAAAGCAATGGCAATACCAAAGTATATATTTTATATGATTGTAACCCAGTCCGGGTTATCTGGACATCCAACTTGGCCAACTAAACTTAATTGTAATGTAGGTCATATTTTATACTAAGCGAGTACTAACCAAAGCTTTAAGCTCTAACTAACCTATTTATGAAAAACCCGATGACATTGAAAAGTTCGCTGTACAATCCAACCACAAAGGCATCCAGAGCTAGTTGTCCATCGTCCATCTCAGGCGGGGAGACAAAACCAGTCTCGGAGTAGCCGAACAACAACTGCGTCAACTTGTCCACCGTCGTGCCGAGAAGTTGGGCCGCTCTTTGGGCAGCATTTGCTCTTCCAAACTGCCACCTGTTCGCCGACTTGTCTAAAATATAAGGAAAACCAGTGAGCTACTGTTCATTTATGGATTTTGTGGTGAGATAGTAAGTGCTTGATAAGTATTCAATTATGTAAAATACAAGACACAGCTTGATAAGATAAAAACAGATGGTAATACTACTTATTGTCAAATTAATATTCACAAAAACTTGAATAATATTGTGTCTGTTTAGAAGGTATTATTATATTAACCAAAGGTTTCCCAATCACGGGCTTGAAGTTATACTAAAGTGAACCATCCAAAGTATTTACCTTAGCCTAATAAAACAGTTACTAACTTATTTAATATGTATGAAATTTAATAAAAAGAGTAAATTTAAAGGGGAAGGGAAGGTTGTGTTTTTCTTAGCTTATCAAAGTTGGTCTGGAGCAGGATGAAATGTGGTCATTTCATTGGTCAGTGATACTTTGGATGTTTGTGATTTCATTCAATTCCAAATATAGAATGCCAAATTGACTACAACTAAAACAGGTTGGAATTAGTGATTCTTTTATCACCACCAACTCAAAATCGAAATGGAATGCAACCACAGCATATAATAAAAACAAGGGAGAGAAGGTACTGAGAATCTAAAAAGTTAACAAATGGAAAAACAGTATCAATGTATATTTTAAACAAGAACAATGGAATGAGAATTGGTGATTGGTCAAGAAATTATTTTAGAAAAAAAAGAGAAAAAATCTTGTAAAACTTTATAACTACTTTAATTTTATACAAAAAGGATATAGAGTGCAAAAGTTCAATTTTGTTCAATTCTATTACGCTTGAGAAGTAATTATAACTTTAAAAAATGCACTTACTGTACACTGCTCCTGCTGCTCCTAAATGAAGAATACTTGAAATCACAGACCAAATCACTTTAGCTTCAGAGTCTGATACTCCTATCACAGTCAGAGCTCCGCAAAGGCGAGAGAATTCTCCAATAGCTTTTTGGAGGTCTTCGACCTAAAATAACAGTTTCTAGGTTAAGTTTTAATTGTTTGGATAAAAAATTAAAGATACACACAACATGCAAACAAGAGATCTCCAATGAATAGATAGTTCCCTTTGTCTAAGATAATGATTATTTTTATTTATACAGTTAGTCTTACTTTGGCTGAGTTTAGGAGCACGTGGTATGGTTTTATTACTAAAAGCTATTGGTATTTGAATTTGGCCTTCCAAGCTTTACATTTCAACCATTAGCTAGAACCTTTGGCGCGATTTGAACCCAAGTGTTTCTTTAATCTTGATATCAGTTAAACCTTGTCAAAAATTGCCCTAAATGTCAAATAAGATAGGGTTGAGCGAGATACACGTACCTAGCCTCTTTAATTATAATAAAATAAGTTATTTCATTTTCTCTTTAAGATCCCTTTTTCACCTACTTAGCCTATTTTAAAGATTTAGGTATCACTTTAAAAATTATGATTTGGCAGAGGGGCAAATAGTAACTAGAAAGGTGATTTCCTTCAGGGCTCCGTCCTCTTGAGTTTAATTTATTTCTAGATTCACTTTAAAAGATCAAGTGATGCTGAACAACTTACTTTATAATGGCTTAAATGTAATTTGTAATTAAACAGCTGATCCTTCAATTGAATATATGACCACAGTCAGATTGTAAACAAGAGACCGAATTGTGTATGAAAATGGACTTATTCAACAAATTGAATTTATTTACAATTAGTAGTTTTATTAGAAGTTTAAAACTGCACAATTTGCACACATGTTCCTTCGTTCCTAATATGAAAAGGGATTAAAATTGTTGTTCTAAAATTTTCTACCAGAAATCTTTACTATCAAGGTTCCAATCGCAAGCACAGACCTTGCTGATGAGTCCAATGTAAGGGTTGTTCTCCCCCACAGCGTCGAGGGCGAGTTCCTTGCGTAAATTACCATCACAGCCCTGGATCAGCCGTCGGAATACATGGAATGTAGATTCTTGTTCTGGTCTGTACGCGACACGCCAACGCTCATTCAAAAGAAGCTGTAAACAAAATTTGAAATTGGTAGAATGTATAGAACAATATCTTGTTATACTTAATAGGAAATCAAGAACTAAAGAATTTGACATTGTTACTGAAATTAAAAATTTGTCTTCTGGCCTAAGACACACAGGCCTATTTTTCTTTCACTAGAGTTGGACAAACTACATAGTATGAAATCAAAAGCACCAATTTCGACATAATCTTAAATTTAAAGCCATCACAAGGCTGGATTTGGACCCACGATTCCACAAAAGAAGTCCTGTGCACTACCAGCAGTCGCCCCAATCATAGAAGAAATAATCAAATAATATATAGGTTACATACCTCTGTCAGTATTCAGTCTTAAAAATAGTCTGGAAATAACTAGTTTCGGTTCAAAGACCCATTATAAAATCCGCATCAAATTGAATTAGTCTATAAATCCGACTGAAGTTTTCATCAAAATGTATATAAAGGACAACACATAAAGTTCAATTTACACACAGATAGATTTAAAAAACTGTAAGCCAGCCAAATTTATTCACCCTGAAACTAGTCCCCCCAGACTATATTTAAGACTGAACACTGGACAGAGGTAAATAACATATACAGACTGTCCCAAAAGTCCCGGACCGGTTTAATATTTTCTAAACTACAACAGATAAATCAATAAGATTTAGTACATCAAAACCATACCTAAAAATCTACTTTTTTATGGAAATATAAATGTTCTGTCACATCATGGGGACGACGCGCAAGGAGTCAGAAGGAAATCTTAAATAGGAGCATAGGTTGACATGTATATCAAATTAAAGGTCTTTACTAGCAGAATTTAATGCTGCAAATTTGAACTCAAACGGACAACCAAGTCAAGAATGACAGTGGTTCAAAGATTCACTTAATTTGCATTTGGGGGCACAGCCCTAGGAATCGGAAAAAAATTTTTTACGTAAGCATAGGTCGATATGCACATCAAAGTAAAGGTCTTCACTAGTAGATTACAATGCCGTAAATTCAAGCTCAAAAGAACGCCTGAGTAAAAAATGGCAGTCGTTCAAAGATTCAAAATGGCAGGTTCAAGAAATCTTTGAACGGCCGCCATTTTGTAACGGGTGATCCTTTCGAGGCGCGGTTTCCGGCATTGAACTCTGCTAGCTAAGCCCTTTAAACTGATGTGCATATTGACCTATGCTCCTATTTAAGATTTCCTTCTGACTCCTCGTGGGACGTCCCCATGATATGACAGAAAATTGATAGTTCTTTAAAAAAGTAGATTTTTAAGTGTGGTGTTGATGTGTAAAATCTTATTGATTTATCTGTTGTCGTTTAGAAAATATTAAACCGGTCCGGGACTTTTGGGACAGTCTGTATAATATATATATATATATATATATATATATATATATCGTACTTAATCAGTCTTGGTGACAAGAATGTTTAAAATGAAGTAATCGATATACAAGGCACCATTTCCCATGAATCGTCCAGTTGGATTTGAAGATTGAGGAAAACATTTGATGAGCGGTCAAAGAACTAAAAGTTATAATTTGCAAGAGGAAAAATAAAAAGAGATCTACAGGAAATGGTCCGTGTATAGATCATAATAATTTCCAAGTGCAAAATGATGATATTATAAATAAACAAAAGGTGACTTTTGGTTGAATAATGAAATAATTACTTATGAAGATGATTAACAGTAGGTAAATGGAAAGTTTTTCGTTTGCCGAGCATTACAGTTGGCAATGAAATTTCATTTACCAACGCCTCAACATTGTAATTCACTAATAAAATAAAACTTTTCTCAAAGTTGTGCCAATATTTTTAATGTTGGGATTTTTTTGTTGCCACATGATTACGACTGTAGACAAAATATGATCCGCAAGTTATGTGCTAGTGAATTTTTAAAACTCAAAGAATTGTTTAACTCACTTTAAAAAACACAAATTTTGGCCACTATTTGCACAAAAAACACCTTTTGGGACTTTTCTACTGGAGCCAATGTAACTTACCTGCACCGAAGCCGAAGCGATTGCCCCTGATTGGTCGAAATCCAAACTGAATATGTGTGTGAAGCGAGTAGCATTAACATTGTTTTGAGTACTGGCATTCCCAAATGCCTCTAATAAGGTCCAAATTGCATTGAGTTTTTCGGGGATAATCACCTAAAACCATTGACAATTAAGTACATGGATTTTTCAGAGTGTAACAAGATGATCATTGTAATAAGGTTGGATATAATTTGATTGTAACTTGTAATACTAATGTGAGAACATATTTTTAAATAAAAAATATGATTGGTTAATTGTCTAGTCTCGCACTGGCAAATCAACTGACCTTATGTTCAATAACCAAAACCAAAATTTTAAAACATCCATAGACGGTGTAATAAAAAATGTTGAATCGCACTCTCAAAAGAGACCTAAATGACTTGTCTGTAAGACATTCAGATTTTTTTGTATAACTTTATAATAATATGTTTGTCTTACTCAATAAATGAATACATTATTAAAATAAAAATTTTTCATTCAAAATAAAGTAAAGAAAATAGAATTACCATTATAATACCAGATTATTTGACAAATTTTCACCTAGACACAAACAAACAACTTATTCTGTTCACTCTCATAACGGCTGTATATTTTTGTTTTTTTCTACAATAATAAGAGTTTCTCCTACAGGATAACTATTGGTTTAATCAAGGTTTTTGATCGATTTATTATTTTTAATTAATTATAAAAATAACCTTATTTTGGTATCCAGCGACCAAAGCCAAGTAGTGAAGCGTGTGACGGAAGTTGGTAGTTTTACCACTGGCGGAGTGTCCCATGAATACAACAGAACCGTCGTGTCTGGTGGATATGACAGTTTCGTACGCAGACTGCGCAGTAGCGTAGATGTGGGGAGGCATGTCTTCCGTCTTACATCCTCGGAACATGTGACACACCTGCAAACAACAGTTACTCAGTAGTAACAATCTCACAATAGCAGTAAATACATATGTTTGTCAAATTGTGTAAATAATAGTTATGTTTATCTACATTTTCACAGTTTTAGCGAATTTCCCTATAGGGAAGTAGCTATTAGCGAATTTCCCTATAGGAAAGTATTAGCGAATTTCCCTATAGGGAAGTAGCTATTACCGTAGGTGGCACGGTGAGACCTAGACCCGGGACCGATTTACTTTTTCATTTTGATGTCCCCAGAGGCAAAAAACACCATTCGTTCAAATTTTTATATATGTATATATATATATATATATATATAGACTTTTATATATATATATACGTCCGTGAACGCGATAACTTGAGTAATTTTTTTCCGATTTTGATGAAATTTGGTTTAAAGGTGTAAAGCGGGATAAACTTGAATGAGTTCGCGAACCAGCACGATCGGACCATGGAAACGGGGCTTTACGGGGGGTTTTATGGGGTAAAAATGGGTTTTTCTCACTTTTGACCCTCAAAACACAAAATTTCCGGATTTCTCTTTATACCTTTTTAAAGAGCTTAAAAAAAAACAAATAATTTAGTATATAAAAGTATTTTTGTTCGATTGTTAGTAACGGAGAAAATTAAAAAAAATGTGGAATTTAAAATTCCCATGTTATTCTTATGGAGAATATTGTCAAATGTTGTAGTTTGCTTGTTTATGGATATATTTTGATCAAACTTGGCAAATTTATTTATTTTGTACTAAGCTATCAATATTTTACTCAAAAACACACTTTATTAGTTTCCTTGTAGCAGCAAACCTAGGTACTCGTTAAAACCTAATGTTATTAAAATATATTTAACTAAAAATCAATTCAGACAAATGGAAATTCGCTTAGTCGGCAGGTTTGCTGCGGCGGGGGTATTTCATTATAATTCGGTAGCAAGTCGCCTTTGGACCTCCCTACCTCACACTATGTGCCTAGGATCTGTTTTAGACAGACGGTAACGGTGGCACTGAAAACGCCCTACCTAATTCTTGGCCTGGTGGGATGGTGTGCATTAGGCCTGGATATATGGAGAGTAACATGTGTATCTGACTATAGATTATACTTAGCATTTTTGAGTTTAACTGTGAAGAAAGAGCATGTTGTCCTAATGATTGTCTCAATAAATAAGTATTGTCATTTGAAAGATACCAACCTTTTCCGAGTATATTGCGAGAGGTGCCATAGGATTGATGATGACGAGGACATCGGCTGCGTAAGTGTGGATCAGGTTGGCTGCGTACCTCTGTCTGAGGGTGTTGAGTACACTAGACTCGTTGACATAGAGTAACTGTGTCAAGTCTTCCGCTCTGTCTAGAGTCGGAGGATTTGCCTGAAAGAGAAAATCACTCAGTAAAAATAAACTGTTGCATTGATACACAACAATATTGGTGTTTAATAAACTAGTTTTCATCTTTATGAGACAAGCTTTTTAATTGGTCCATGAATTGGAATCAGGTCCACTTAATTGGCAATTACAAGGCTTTGGAATTGTGGCAGGGATGTGATTGGCTTCGGAATTGTTGCAGGGATGTCATTGGCTTCGGAATTGTGGCAGGGATGTGATTGGCTTTGGAATTGTTGCAGGGATGTGATTGGCTTCAGAATTGTTGCAGGGATGTCATTGGCTTCGGAATTGTGGCAGGGGTGTGATCTGCTTCGGAATTGTGGCAGGGATGTGATCGGCTTTGCATTTGTGGCAGGGATGTCATTGGCTTCGGAATTGTGGCAGGGGTGTGATCGGCTTCGGAATTGTTGCAGGGATGTGATTGGCTTCGGAATTGTGCAGGGACGTCATTAACTTCAGGATTGTACCTTTTCTACTTCATCTTCTTCAATCTGTATCTCTTCCCCGCTACTGTCTACAGACACAGTCATTTTGTGGATGTCGGGTTGGTGTGAGAGAACAGTCACGGCTGAAAACCCATTCCGATGAATCAACCAGAGATGATCCTTCTGCAGCCAATCGCGCTCCAAAGCTACTTGTTCTTCTGTTTTAGCCTGAAAATAAATAGTCTAAAAACATACACTTTGAGATGTTTCTAACTCAAAAATCAATTTTGTATGTACAGTAAAACCTCATTAAGTTGGACTAGCCGAGGCCATGGCCAATCCCACACAACAAAAATCTGTGTTAGCCTGAGGAAAAGCAGAAAACGACAAGAAAGATATATGTATGCTACAACATTTTCATATACTGCAGAGAAAAACAACACTGAACAGATTCAAAGATTTGAAAAATGATTCCACATTTCAGTAAAACATTAACAATTACAATAACTGAGATGCTCAGTCATAGCAAACAAACTAGGTTGCACAAAACCAGGGATAATCCCCGCTTGATTGTGTGCTCATACACTACAAACATTTATATCTTATATAAATTTATATTCAAGTTTATTAATTGCAGACTGCTCCGGTTATCCAGGGATCCTATTTAACGGAGGCTGATTTAACGACATCGCCCTGAACTACATATGAATCTTGTTACCTGGGATATGTTTAAATGAAATATATGTTCTCATTATGATTGGGCAGTCAAATGTATACCTACGGCTGAAACTTTATCAATAATTCATATTACATCCCTACCGTACTCAAACTAACATTGACAAATTTGTTTGAATTTGTTCCAGCTTTGAGGTTGGGATGGAATGCAAATAATAGCCCCTCTGTTTTTTAACCAAAGGAAACATTTAAGAATTTTTGAAATAACAAAACTCTTTCACAAAATAAAATTTATTTTTCCTCTTCCCTGATACTGACCATGTTTGAGTGATTGAACCGTCGACTGCCACTTCGTCTTAGAGTTCCGCCTCGAATGTTGCTGTCATCTAACTCCACCGTCTGCCCGTCCATTGTAGATCTATGACTCAATTCACTCAACTCACTGACTGGTTGCACCTATAAACACAAAACATTAACTCAACTCATTGACTCACTACTTACGGTACTGATAAGTAAGAAAATTCATCAAACAGGCCTACATTTAGACGACTACACTGCCTTAATGTTATTGTGTGTTATTGTATACACCTACAAAAACACTTTAAACAAAACTAATAATTATGCTAAGAAAAAATTATTTACCCTGTTATTGAATTTCTTTTTGAACAAATTATTCATGTCAAATGGCTAGATTTCTCTCAAGCATTAAAACCAACACTTCCCATTCCTATTGACATATGACTAATCAATAACGAAGGAGTTATCAAAACAAACGCTGCACTGTAGACTGGGGTCAACAGTAATCTCTTTGACAGAGGCTCATTTACACATCAATGTCCAATCAGCGCAAACTCGGAAACAGCTGATAATTATAGAATAATTAAATAAACCGTATCTTTAACTGTTTTTCAGTTGTCATTTGTTATTTTTAACATTCAATAAATAAGTTTTAGTTAGATCAAAATTTTTGAGCATCTCTCACCTTTTTGAAATAAGGAGAACACATTCCTTGTCACCACAGTTCATCTCACACACCAACACTAAAGTCCCCGTTATATCATCTTTACTTTTGTAATTTTATTTCAAATGTGTATTCAAGTGTGAAATGAACAGTGGTAACAAGGATTATGTTCTCCTCATTTCATAAAGCTGAGTGATGCCCAAAATATTTATCTAACTGAATTCATTATTGACCTGACCTTAAAACCACGTTTAAAAATAAAATATGTTTTAGTGCAATCAAGTCAACTTAGCGCTGTTTAGATCAATAAATGAAATAACCTGAGTTATAAATAACATTTTTAATTCATACATATTGGCATGGAATCAGAAATGAACAGTCATGTAATTCAGATTAGGATATGTAAATGAAAAAAAAAAATATTTTTAGAACTGATTGGATTAGGAAGCATATACGAAGTCAATGTGATATATAGTAATGTATTGTACTGATAATTGTACTGTAAATTAAAAATATTACTCATTATAGACAGTGTGTAAAGCATATCATAACATATAAGTGTGTGTTAACAGTTGCTAATAATATCTTTATAACAAACCAGCAAATTCTGTTCTCTAAGTTTTAGTATAATACACTTACATTTGTAAGCTTATTAACCAGACTTTAACAAACCATAAACAGCTGTTTCTGATTCATGATTGGGATTACTGATATCCCAAATAGTATATAGTACTCTCTATAATACATTAGACTCCCGATAATGAGTGACTTTGTCGTGGATAATCAAAATCGTGGATGGTGCAAAATCTATCCTAAAATGCCCGGGAAGTAACTAACATTGACTTTGAATGTTTAATAAGGCTTTAATACAAGTTTACGTAATAATAAATATTTTAAATGCAGTGTGAATACCTTTTACTTTATTTAACACACATATTTTTACAAAACAGATAGTATTGGAGAGCCCATGTATAGGTCTAGTAATAAGTAGGCCTAATGCCAAAAATTAAACATCCTCGTAATGTAACTTATCAACTCATCGGTTGTAATTGGTCGTCGATGAAGTAAACAACGGCAACTTTATAGTCTATCCGCAAGATGATGGGCTTTCATTTGCTAAACATCTTGGCCGATACTGTATAACGTACAATTAGTTTGCATAATATATTTTTTAATGTTTTTTTACGATCTTGGTAAATCCAGTTGTGAATAATTGGGAATGTACTGTACCATAATTCAATTCAACAAAGGTAAAAGACACATAAGACCATATTTACCTTCACACTGACCACTGCACCTGATGATTTTATCATCTCTATCACTTCTTCACGGGACTTATCATCGACTTTGACACCGTTGACTTCCAGCAACCGATCTCCTGGAAGCAGACCCGTATCGTTCCGATGTTGAACAATCGCGCCGGGTTCAGCAAAGATGACAGCTGAGAGTGTGTAACCGCCCCCTCCACTGGTGTCTCGCTGAACTACCATCGCGCGGCGCAACGAGAATCCAAAGTCATTTCGGGGAGGAGGTTGACGTGAGATGGACAATACTCGTGGCTTGGGTAGTCTCACAGGTTCTATTCTTGGCAGAGAGAGATCACAACACAAACCTACAACAAAGTACAGAATGTATGTTTTAGTAGATAGATATAGGTTAAGATAAATATACCAACAATCTATTACAAAAATATTTGTATATATTAACTACTCTTACGTTTTTTTTTTTTTTCAATAATAGATTATGTGATTATGTTCTGGAGTTTATCATGTGATAAAGATGAATGGTTTTCAAACAAAAGTAATAACTTAAATATGCAAGAATATTACGTTCTCACATTTTTTTAAATCTTGCAAATCGCTATTAGGGAATTAAAAATCTTAAATGTTTCAAATGTATACTTACGCAAAACCTTGTGTTATAAACAAACTACACAGGTTTTTACTATGAAAATTTTTATTTAACACAAAGTTTTAGATAATTTTTTTTCCCCATCTAGTGTGTGTATCTTATAGAAAAACAAACATATAAGGCAAAATAACTGTTTTATAAGTAACCTGTAGATTTCAAGAATATACCTACAATAATTGTGTTCAAGAAAGAAACTTTCAAAATACTTTTTAGCATAAACAACTACTCAAACAATTATTTTTGGAAACTTTTTTATTTAGGGACATAGAATGTAACGTTGATCTTCAAGGTATATTTATTGTAATTATTTGCTAACAATGTCACCTGTTTCATAATTATTCTAAGTATAAACCATTTAGTGATAAGAAAGTTTAATTTGATTTAATTTATCATAGGTTAGTCAAGTTAAGTCTATATTGAGTGAGATAGCCTCTTAGAACGATGATTAATAAACTTTTTTTCAAACTATTCCAATCATGTCTTTTTGCACAGTTGGTAAAATGAAGTTTTTGTAAAACATTTTGAAATTTCTGGGTAGGGATCTGAGTTGACACAACTGAATAAGTCTTCATTGGATAACATTACGCAATTAATAGTTATTTTTACTTTTTTACTTCTTCACATTACAATATTATCTTTAAATTTGAAGGCTAAGACTTTATAAATTTTAATGTCGTGTGCAAGAAAGAAATATATTTGTTATTCCATTCCTATATTAAAATATAAACACGTAAAATATTTATTTTATGCTCTAGTATTATAACAATATAAATATTTACTTTAAAGTAGAAAAAAATATTCTGAACACGAGTAATTAATTCTCCTCAAAAACATTCTGCAATTACGATTTACATTTTTACTAAGTCAGCTTTCAAAACTAGTAACACAAAAAATGTGACAATTTTTAATTGTAATTCTTAATAGAATGTTGACTCGAAGGGGAGATAAGACTACACAATATGTTGCAAGTAAGATACGAAGGTAATAAAACAGACTTTGCTATCAGTCACAGTTAAACTGAACTTGAAGATTTTATCTACTCTGGGATGATTAGCAAAGTAGTAGACTAGACGAGGTGTCAACATAAATGACATTAAGTCTACATTGTTATTCTGAAAGATGAATGAGTGTCCGGAAGAAACTGCATACCAACGAGCAGGGACAGTTCCAGAATACTAATGTATTACGGTGTATTCTAAAGTGTCATCCAAACTAACCAGTAACAGTTACATCTTTCCAAACCCAACGGGAAACACAGTTCAACATTCAATCATTAAAAAAAGATTAGTGTTGACTAAAGCCCCAATTTTAAATACATCAAAATAAGATGCATTTCAAAATTTAATGATAAATACTATTTTGTAATTTTTAACACTAATAGATAAATGTAAGATAAAATATAGTTATGTCATATTTTTAAACAAACTCTAACAAAAACTACACTTTAATAAATAGGCAGATGTGTTATCAAGGTAACAGATAATTTCTATTGTTGTGTAATGTCAGTTAGGTAACATTAATGAATAATGAAACTGAATAAAGGCGAACTAACTGGGTGGTTATTTCACAAACCTCAAAATAGTTTGACGATTAAATAGATAAATAAAATAATTCTTTGTCACGAAATCTTTTAAATAGGCTAGTAGTAGGAATATAATTTTTTTCAATTGTAATTTCTGTAGGCCTATAGTACTAACTGTATATTCTTGGAATAAATTATTTGTGTTTAATTTTATTTGAAACCAAACTTTCTGATACTCTCAAAAGTATGTAGGTACTACATAGTCTTAAAGACATATTTGTGGCATAAAAAACAGCATACAGAATTGTACATACTTTTTAAATGTTATAAGACTGGAAAACTAATGAACTAGTTGGGAAATGAACACATTCAAACAAAGATTAACAATGTTGAAAGTTGAAACCTTTTTTAAAAATTTGTTAACTCGCGCTAAGAATTTTTGTTGGAATAAAATTGAGGAAATCTGTTCAAACTTTTTTCTTTGGATTTTGGAGTTAGCTGAGGGAATACTGAGTGTTATCAAATGACATTCAAATGAATGGGCACACTGTTAATGGTAATAGTTCAAGGAAGAGAGCAGTGAAAATGTTTAGAGTACCAAACAGTTCGGTGACTTTGGTAAAGTCGTCCTTTGTGCGTAAACAGCGTGTGGTTTTTGTTCGCTCTTTTTCGTTTGCCTGCATTTGAATGTGTGCAAGTTGTGTTTAATTTGTCTTAGTACTTACACTCATTAAAAAAACTTGTGTTTTCTCTTTAAATATAGGCTAACTAAACATATTAAACTGATAATCTATCAAGAGGACACCATGCCATGTGAGAAATTAAAGATTATCATCATTTTAGTTTATTAAACTCTAACAATTAAATTGTATGGTTGTGATCGGATCTATATTTATTGAGGGATTGTTTAACAACTCGAGAACTTGTTTTATATACAGTAATTAACAAATGTTCAAGACCTAAAACATATCTTATATTTAATTTAAAAAAATTGAATAAACTACAACAGTCTTGAGAGTTAGTAGAAAATACACCCATTTTATTTTTTATTTATTTTTTTTTTTGTCACTTAGGCTACTCAAAAACCTTTAAAAAATATTCATAGATAACATATTTTTTACTTACAGTATATTCAGTTTTTAATAGTTTGTTTCTTATCCTTATTTGGGTTTAAGAGATTTTGTGATCAGAAAGCGCAATCATGTATTTATTCAAGTGATTTTTTTCTATTTAAGAGTGTATATAGGCCTAGGCTAATAGCAATGCAAGTTTTTTATACATTTGTAAATGGCAGTTGGAGCTAAGAAGTTAATTTGATAGATATATAGAACACTTTTGCACTATATACACTTGTCGGGTTTCCCTTGTTAACAAAAGTAATACATTGTTAAAATGTTACTATACATAATATTTTAATTTTAGTTTTTACTTTGAAATGGAAAATAATTTACTATTAAGACACAAGAACCATCACAATTTGTTTCTTCCTGCCAATGAAATTGGTAGCATGTATATCTAAAATGTAGCCTAGTTTCCATTAGGCTAAAGCTTTGACTACCGATACAACTAGACATTCCATCCCATGTCAAAGTAGTTTATGCAAATTATCGGCAGTTTGTGCTGATGTAAATTTATAATTACTGTCGGACACACAAACTTGTTTACCAAGTCAAACTGATGGAACGACTGACCCGTCAACTACCGGTATTTCAATAACGAAAAATAAGAAATAAAATATAACTTTAGGCACTAGCGCATTCTGTGACTGGCTAACTCAACTGTGTTCTTTTTTAATAAAAAATTGCTGACAGATGGTCCATGTTGATGGGGCATCTACTTCAGTATCCAATTGTCACTATTTGGTTCAAGTTAAAACCTTTTAAAATTGTTTTTTTACCAATCATTGTACTCCAGTTAATTGTTCTAACCGTTTCCAGCTGTGACTAAAACCATACAACATCTATGTTTCCAACTTGTTTTGTTGCAAAAAAAAAATATATATATATATATATTTGTGTATGCAAATTTCAGTAAAGTCCTAAATATAATCAGTTAATTTTGCTTTGTTTTAAAATATTAACCCATTCACTTATGATTTTTTTTTTACCCGCCTAGGCCAAAACAAACGAATTTGTTGTGGCTAGTTTCATTCATTTCTGATTTAATTTTTTTTCAGGCAACATTTACTATTTATATGCAAGATATTATTATTTTCTTATTCAAAATTAAATGTAGATTCAAAATATATAAATATTTCCCCAAAAAATATAACTATAATTTTTTATTATACCATATAAAAATAAAATAAAAAAATAAAAAAATTTAAAAAAACTTTTTTATTGGTCATTTTTAGCTACATAGGGCTCATATATGTTTTGGAACTAGTCTATAATACTGTATGACACTTATAAAAACTCACCAAATGTCAAGCAAAGTTCATTTTGGTGTGGTATGCCTTGAAACACTCTGGCATGTGAAGTGCGACAAGGCAGAGCTCACACTCCCATCGGCTGTCACTGCGCTTTCCCTGGGCACTACACACCTTACATCTTCTTGAAGGTGTTTGTTTGACTTCATTTGGAGGAATAGGCCTAGGAAAATGTCCCCAAGTTGCTGCCTGGAGCCTCAGAGGTGTTTCTGAGTTGGATGATCGTCCTCTTCGATTGTACGGTGGCAGTTGTCGCGACTCAAACATTTGCTTGACAAACCTCTCCTTGAACTCACTAAACCCCAATTTTTTTCTGGTTAATTTTTTGAACACTACATAAGAGTTAAAAAGGCCAATGTCCATTATGTAAAAGAAGATCTTCTTGTATCCCTTAGCATACCTCCTCATACTAGGAAACGTCGCTAATTGCTGATCCTCGCGGTCAATTCCACCCATTGAACGATTATAGTAGATCACTGGTTCTGGCTTTGTTATAATTTCTTGGGTAACTCTGTCTTTCTTGCCAGTTGATCTTTTGTCAGCTTTTTGATGAAAGGTAGACAAAATGCAAACTTGCTTCTTGTCCTGCCACCTTACTGCTAACATATTGTGGCTATAGGCTGTCTCGTAGTCGCCCAACTTAAGTTTACCCTCTTTGAAGCTCTCTGGCATGTTTGATCTCCACCAGTTAGCTGTTCCAATTACATTGAAACCTACTTGCTTAAGTCTATAGAAGAGAAGAGGTGAGGAATACCAATTATCAATTGTCAGAGTATGTCCTTTTCCTGCCAAATCTTTTGTCATTTCAACGACTATCGCCTCACTTGTTAACAGCTTTTCCTCCTGTGTAGAATCCCCACTTCCTTCTTCAACCGGTACATTTTCTTTGACTTCAGCTCCAGTATAGATCTTAAATTTAGAACAATAACCACTTCCAGATTCACAACACTTGTAAAACTTTATGCCAAATCTGGCTCTCTTCTTAGGATTAAATTGAACATAGCCCAACCTCCCTCGGAACTTCATAAGACTCTCATCGACAGCTATGTTTTCATCAGGTATGTACAGATGGGAAAACTTCCTGTTCATGTACTCAATAACATACCTTAACTTCCACAGTTTATCATTCACAGGTTTCCTATTATTGTCTGTAAGGTGGAAAAATGTGGACAGTAGCAAAAAACGGCGGAATGGCATCACTTTACGAAAAAAAGGGGTCTCAGTTACAGCATTAGGCGACCAGTATGATTGTATGGTTCTTTTTTTTACAAGCGACATAAGGACACACAGTGTATAAAAACAAGCCATCTCATCTGCAGTTGTGTCAAACCATTCTGAGTATATAGTTTTTCCTACCCCGCCTGCTTCGTTCTTTTTCTTAATTGTTTCTTTGGCATAATTATTAGTCTCTGTGGCAACATGTTGCCAAAAGTCATTATCAAGAAACGCATTGAAAACATCTAATTCAGAGGGAGCTGAGCCTAAACTTCTAGCCAAACTTGCTCTAACACCAGGACAACCAGTAAAAGGGATTTTATTTATTATATTACTTTCTATGGTACTGGTCCACTGCCAACCCTCCTTTTTCTTCTTTTTTGGTGGAGCTGTATCGTTACTAGTTTGAGTTTTGGACCTTTTAGTAGGCTTATATGGTTGTGAAATAGCTTTTTTTCCTATAGGCCTACCTCTTCCTCTAGACCTGCCCCTAACAGGTTTACTTTTAGGCCTAGGGTCAGGAAAGCTAGGGTCGTCAGCTTCCTCACTCGGTGTAGGTGAGAGGGCAGGCACGATTGAAGATGCAAGCTGGTCAAATAATTCAGGCCTAATAGGCAAATCTAAATCAGATTGGACATTTGGAGGGGTCATAGGCCTATGCCTGCCACTATCTATATCATTTATAGGCCTAGAGTCAGGGAAACCAGGGTCGTCAGCTTCCTCACTCGGTGTAGGCGAGAGAGAAGGCGCGCTCATACTACCGCGGTATAACCGATCAAGAAACTGGACTGATTTAGGCAATTCTTCATCACGTGATGGAGAAGATACATGCTGATCAAATATTTCAGGCCTACTAGACAAATCTGAATTATATTGGACAGTAAGGGCATCTGGAGGGGTCATAGGCCTAGCATAGCTGCAAGAAGGCTGTTCAAGCAACAACTGGTCACTTTCTAAAGGATTAGGCCTAACACAATTAGTATTATGGTCTGGGGAAACTGTGGTCTCATAATCAATAGGCGTATTAGACTTATTACTCACTTGAATTCTGCTCCCTTCCAAATCATCATCATCACTCCAACCACTCTCCTCAAACAAGTCACAATCACTGTCACTGTCACAATCCCCTATAAGTTTTATAATGTCACTTTCATCTAACTCTTTTCCACATTCATCCACGAATACCAAGTTATTTTGAAGACTCATCGTATTATACAAAAGCTTTTCAATTGAATAATATAGTAAAACAAGATACCGTAGCTCAATCTTTATCACGACGAAGTGAAACACGACATGATAGGCCTAATAACTCAGTCATTATAACGACGAAAAAGTAAAATACTGATAAAAACTTACACAAAGTAAATTCTATAACTTATTTTATAAGATAACTACACTTTTCAATAAAATAATAAAGTAAAACAAGGCTCTAACACAATGTTTACATCGTCGAAGTAAACACAACAACGTATCAGCTGTGAAACCAGTGTAGACGTCGTCAGCTGCTAAGTTGCACCATTTCAACTTCAGTTTTTTTGCCGATTGGACTGGACTGAGATGACGAAAATATAACCAAAAGAAAGCCTGGAAATCATAGAACAAGAAGCATATGCGATCTATTGGATTTCTGGGGAACTAACTCGGCACAAACAGGTTTTAATAGCGGACGGCGATTCGCCGTCGCTTCACACAATGGCTAACGGGAGCGCGACGGCGGATCGCCGTCGTTGTAAGCGAAGGGGTTAAAGATTGCATTAAAGTTTCAAGTAAACTAAGTAGAAATAATATAATATCTTCCAAAAGAACATTTCAGCTAATATTTTATCAAAACTTAGAATAACATTTTTCAACAGTTTGTGGGATAGGCTACTAAAGTAGGCCTATATAATTTGTTTAATTTATACAAAGATGCAAAAGCAAACAAAGCAGATCACAGTTTGACGCTTTACCGAGATCTCAAAACTAATGATTGTTCACAAGTAAAACTTAAATGTACCTTTATACTGAAGGCTTACTTATATTTTCAACAGTAAATGTACATATAAAAGATCAAACGGCAATTAGCGAGACAAATTTATCGGTAAACAACAACAGTAATTTAATTATAAATTATCACTTGTCAAAATATGGCACAAATCATCCTGATAAAAGCTGTTTACTTACTACTCTCCAGATTTGATGGATGACTTTGGCTTTCTCCGACAGGACTCATGCTAAAGGGAGGAGTGGCAAAACTGCTGTTAGTTGCCGAGTCAGTTAGACTGTCGATACTCGGGGTCTTGCCGTCCTTGACTACTGGAGCAGTCAGATAACTGCTAGGCGTGTGATCTCCACTGCCGATTGACGATGAGTCTTCAACACCTTCATTGGTTCCGTCCGGGGCCGATCGCTTTGGTAAGTTCTGATAAGTTATAACTTCGTTTTGTAACGTGTTCCTCATTAGAGTGTAAGATGTATCTCCCTGACTTAATAAGTCATTATTACTAGAGGTTTTCGGAGTTTGTTTGAGGATCCCGCGCTTGGGTGGTCGAGGAGGTAGTGGAGGCAAGTTACTGTGTGATGGACCGGGATTGTTAATAGATGTCATGCTCGTTTCCGAACTATCACTTTGGGTTAGATTATCACTACGACTATGAGAGCTAGGTCCACAAGCTCCATCATTGTTTCTACTTAACTCGGCAAAAAAACTTGCACTGTAATCAGCCGTTATTCCACTAGGTAGTTTTTCTTTTTCTTTTCGACGTCCTCTAATTTTCAATGAGCGTCGAACCTGCACAGACATAATTAAAGTAAGTAAAGAAAGAGTAGAGGTCGTACGGAACGAGGTGAAGCTTGGAGGGGAATAGTGGTGTGGCGGGGGAAGTGTTGCTATGCAAGGCGACGATCGGCTCGTCTCTTACCCCCACAATGGATTTCCCCGCTTTAGACCGTTCCTGCCAAAAATCTCAGGCTTCACCTCGTTCCGCACGACCTCTAAAGTGTTAAAATTAAATTAGAAATTACTTAATTTGAGAGGCGTAGTTGGGAGTTGGCGAGTCCACTCAACAACTTGACCTCTAAAACATTAATAAAACAATTAATATAGATAAATCAAATAAAATAACCTACAATAACAATCTATGACAATTGACAAATCCTGAATAGAATCGTTTACGCAAGCCACCAACAACCCGTCACGCCGTTGCCAAGAGATTCAATCATTTCTGATCATGAAAATTATACACTTAATCTCTGCCTTAAACCACAGAAAACGTATTACTATAACCCAGAATGCCAACCGCATGGTAAAAAGCATTAAGCGTTTTGAGAGAGCTTTGCCTGTCAATCCGTAGGCAGCGCCACCAGCGTTGCCATGCAATAGCATAGCAACGCTGGTGGCGCTGCCTACGGATTGACAGGCAAAGCTCTCTCAAAACACTTAATGCTTTTTACCATGCGGTTGGCATTCTGGGTCATAGTAGTACGTTTTCTGTGCTTAAACCTACCACGGTTTTATATGGCTTTATTGTGGTCAGGAATAGAATTCCAAATTCGAATTATAGACTATATATATATATATTAAAAAAGATTTGTTTAAAACAGCAGTGTTTGAATTTATTTGCATGTTCCCAGAATGCACATAGGCTAAGTAGCTATTTTTACATGGCTACCATAACCTCAAAGTTCAATACCTATCCTTATTAGTTAATGTTTTTTTGGTAGAGCAATATGTAGTTCTTGTCCTAGGAACATTGTACTTCCCATTTTAGCGAATTTCCCAAATAGGGAATAAGCTATTACCGTAGTACCGGTACTCATGGTAAGACCTGGACCCGGGACCGATTTATTTTTTCGTTTTGAGGTCCCTAGAGGAAAAAAAAACACCATCTGTTCAAATTCATATATATATATGTCCGTTAGCACGTACCTCAAGCAAAAATGAGCCGATTTTGATGAAATTTGGTACAAACGTGTAAACCTACATTTATTCGAACGAGTTCGCGAACCAGCATGATCGGACTATGGGAACGGGGGTTTATAGGGGGTTTTATGGAGTAAAAATAGGTTTTTCCCATTTTTGACCCTAAAAACACAAAATTTTACAATTTCTTTTCAGACCATTTTGTAGAGCATAATAAAACAAATAATTTAGTATATTGAAGTGTTATTGTGCGCCTAATGGTTACGGAGAAAATTCCAAAAAACTGTAAATTTGAAATCCCTATGTTATTCATTATGGAGAATAAGTCAACTGTTGTAGTTTGCTTGTTTATGAACATATTTTGATCAAATTTTGAAAATTCATTAATTTCTTACTAAACTATTAACATAAAAAACACCTTTTTACCCTCCCTGTTGCAGCAAACCTAAGTACTCGTTAAACTAATTCTATTTAAATAGGGAATAAGTATGATATTTTTAAGGAGGCATTTTAGTGTAAATCCTATCAGTCTAATGGAAATTCGCTTAGTCTGCAGGTTTGCTGCGGCGGGGTATATTACATTATAATTGTATAGCCTAACTTAGTGCTAAATTAGTTTTTTTATAGAGTGGTACAAAATAACATTTGCGATGCCAAAAGCACTTTTGGCAACCCTTTACTAAGTCTCAAAGTTGTGCTTGAATCAATTTTACTTTACTTTCATCTCTTGCTAGTAGGCCTAAAAAAGATTTAGGAAACCAAACTGTCCTTATGATGAATTTGATTTTTTAATAAAGTTATATTGGATTAAAATATTTGTTCATGGATTTGAACATTTACAACAAATAGAAAGTATTATTCTAAGATAAACATTGATATATCACTAAGATCTTGTGCCTCAAAGGTTGCTATGTTATTATTTTGTGAACTTACTAAGCAGCAAAGTTTTACTGCCTAGAAACACTGTTTTGAAAAATAAATTACCACATAACATCTCAATATGGCTGGCTGCAAAGTTGCAGTATGTTTATTCAACACTTTTATAATAGCTAGACAAAGGTAGCAAAAAAGTAAGGACAGATTATGCCTTTGGTAATTTTTGCGCTCAAAGGCGATTTGAAACTGTTAAAAACTGTTTAGGTAAGTTAGCCTTACCCACGGCTCGTAACTGTTTCTACGTTTGCATCGCTTCAATCAGATTACAGCCACAAACCTAGGACAACACATGACTGGGTCTGTGTTTGCTGATTAGATAAGGAGTAACAGATACAGAAATAGGCCCAAGTTACCTCATCCAATCTGAGCAACTCTTCAGTAGTCATGTTTCCTCTTTCTCTTTTCTTATTTTCTTTGCGATCTTTTTTATCCTTTTTCTTCTTCTCTTTATCATCTTTTTCACAGCCACTCTTTTTCATGAAACTGAACATCTTTTGTTTATTTAGGAACAGACAAACCTGAAAGAAAGTATAATTTAATAGTCTGTATAAGACTAATTATTTTATTCATAAATTAATTGAAGTAGTCCTAGTGTAAGTTAGACAAGATCTTTAAAAAACCATTTTCTTTCATAATGGGTGGGAATCGGCCAGAAAAGTAGTGAATGAAAGTAAAGAACACAGTCCTGATCTCAGGTTTTAACTAGACCTAGCTCACTTGGCCACAACAGAAGCTAAATTTTTGGACAAGCCTTTTGCAGTAGTCAAATCAAAGCATTAGGCCTATTTGAGTAAACATTTAGAGGTAAGATGCGTGTAACTGCGTTCATTTACAACAGACATTGTTTAGGCCTATAGAAATTATTACAGTTTTGAAGTGCAGAAAGATAGCGTGCAGGTTTTGACGTGAAACTTGAAAGTATGTGATGAAAAGTTGGGATATTGAAGATGAGTCTGCTAGGTGATGGAAACCCAACAGGATGACTGACTGGGAAGAGTGCACATCCCACAGCACACTGATAGCCTACTCAAGCCAGTCTCTCAGCTGAAAGGGCTCACTCATAACTACAAGATGCAGTTGAAAAGTTGTGACAAACAACAAAAACAATGATATAATTACGTCCAGCAGTGTTTCTTAAGTGGCCATTTTTTGCTAACCTAACCTAACCGGTAAATATTTTTTCCACAAGTTAATTTTGTTGGATTGTTGAGTTTTTATTTTTACTCTTCATTAGAGTTAAATAGGCAAAACATTAGGACTGTTAGTTGTAGCCGCGCACTGCCAATAGGTACCTTTATATCAGTGGTGTAATGGGGTGGAAACAGAAATAGCGTTCTCACTCTGCCAACAGCCATCACACCTTTTTTACTGAGTCATAACTTAAAATGGCTGAACAGGTTTTAACAACTTTAAATAAGCCTAGTGTTTAGATAAATTATATAGGCCTAAGTCTCCTGCAACATAAAATCGTGAACATATTCCACAGTCGCAGAAAATCATCAATGTCTCATGTGATCCCAGAGAAATGCAGAACGTCTGCCGCGGTAATTGGGCACACATACTTCCGCTGCCACAGAGACATTAAGTATCATCGTTTTCGCAATAGCAGAAAAATCGTGAATACTGTAGAGTCCCGATAGTCTGAAATGGTTGGGACCGTACCCATTTCGGATTACCAAATATTTCGGAAGATTTTTTTTTATATTTAAAAAATTAAATGTTGTTAGTTTATATGTCCTAGTTAATAAAATACTACATAAAATGATTTGTGTGTGCAGACTATGTGGTCTTAAGTCAGAAGTTACTGAATGTGCCTTAGGAAACAATATTATACAGGGTGTCCCGGAACTCTCTACCATTATTTTAGGGCATTACTCCTGGCTAAGAAACATACCTAAATATCATATTTAAATTGTCCGGAAGTCCTTAGTTATTCACACAGCCGCCGTTTTGTTTTTTTTCAGTTATTAATTTTTTTCTAAAGAATAGTTAAACATACAAAATGGAAACTTTGCGCAAACATTTATGACAACTAGACAAAGCTACCAAAAAATTATGAAGATTTTTCAAATTCATAATACAAAATGGCGGCCGTTTAAAGTTTTTTGTTTCTTAAATAACTCAAAAACCGTTGATTTTACCAACATTTTACAAGAATAACTTTTTTAAGGCAATTGTATTACAAATCGATTGACACCTTATTATTTTAGATCGGACGAGTAATAACTGAGATATGGCAGTTTAGTGATACATGACCGCTTTCAGCATGCGCTGCTACTAACCTCCAGCGGTCAATTATCACTAAAACTGCAATATCTCAGGTAATACTCGTCCGATCTTAAAGATTTAGGTTTCGATCGATTTGTATTAACATTGCCTTAAAAAAGTTATTCTTGTAAAATTTTGGTAAAATCAACGGTTTTCGAGTTATTTAAGAAACAAACTTTTAAACCGCCGCCATTTTGTTTTATGAATTTGAAAAATCTTCATACATTTTTGGTAGCTTTGTCTAGTTGTCATAAATGTTTGCGCAAAGTTTCCATTTCGTATGTTTAACCATTCTTTAAAAAAAAATTAATAACTGAAAAAAACAAAATGGCGGCTGTGTGAGTAACTAAGGACTTCCGGACAATTTAAATATGATATTTAGGTATGTTTCTTACCCAGGAGCAATGCCCTAAAATATTGGTAGAGAGTTCCGGGACACCCTGTATACAACAGACATACCACTTTGACAATCCAAAATTGGGAAAGCGCAAAACTGGCAAGATATAAATTATCTCATGGATTTTTAAATATTATTTAAAATAAAAACATACATACCATTTAGCCTAATCGGTTAAAATTTAAGAAAGCCTACATTATAGGCCTAACTTAACACGTTCGCTGCTGACCGTTAGATGCCGGGACGGTGCCAGGAGCTGAACTAAAGCTCGCCGCTATGTAAACGTTGCTGCCGAAACACTGAATTACAGTAAAAACAACAGTAGTTTTACTGGATGGCAATGTTCTGCAATCAAACTGGCTTTGGACATAGTAGCCTACTAAGTCATTCTGATAAATAGCAGCACTGCCCAGGTTGCAGTCGGTAAGTTGTCGCTATCTAGCAGGATTGGAAAGAGGTGGGACAAAGCCCTGTTCTAAATGACACTGGTGGTGATTTTGGGAAACTTTATTTTTTATTGTCAGAAAAGTACGTTCCCACGAGCTGCAAAGAAATATAGGACGCTTGTGACGAGCTGGCTGATCCATGGTAGGCCTAACGTTAAACATCAATGAACGGCGACGTTCCGGAACGCTCCTAGCTCCTGGCGCCGTGGCCCGTTTGACGTTCCGGAACGTCCGTAGCAGCGAACGTGTTAAAGAGGAGAGTCTTAAATCCATCCTAATTGCAAATTATATTAAAATGTTGTAACAGATTCCTTCCTGGAACGTGATTAAAAAGGGTGTGGTCAGTATACAAGAAGATACCTAAAATAGAAACTAGTAAAAATAACTTCAATAACTTACAATCACCATTGGTTTCAGTGGCAACTTAAGACTAAATTCCTGCTTCAGCCCTACAGGGACTAGCCTGTTTGGCAAATGAAGAAACAGACTTTGTGAAAAGAAGGTGGGACTGGCCGACTTCTCAACAAATTTGGGATGGACAAAAATGTTGTGACTGTTGTCTTCTAGTTTAACATTTAAAGGATTTGTGCGTTTTAGATAGTCCAAGAAAATGAACAGGTCTAGGGCACAGCCTAGGTTTGTTTATACCTCTTTATTTTTGAATTGCTCCTTAAAATAATCAGTTTCAAGCTTACAAATTCACAGTGGCTAGTTTAAAATAAAAGATTGCAAAAGCAATGTTGTTTTGAAAAGGGTAGTCTTAGGGTAAACTAATTTCTGGTGAGGGAGGTTGATTAGCCTAGGCCTATGGTCGTGTAGGCCTAGGGTATTAGGATTTTGATTATCTAGCAAAACATCTCATTTAGCTGTTATGGTTTATACATTACATAATTTCGTGTAAAAACCATGTAGGTTTAAGTGATAACACTGAAATCAAATCAAATAATAACATAATATACCTGATAGGCCTAGGCTATTACAGGTTAAATTTCCCTAAACTAGGCCTACCTAAATTACAAGCTTACATTTGATTTACGATACCTTCAACTCAGATAAATCCAAATTTTAATTTTTTATTTTATAGGAATGGTTCATTGTTTTGGTATTTTATACAAATCTCTATATCGAGCACGAAATAATGTCATTTAATTCATCCACACACTTGTAAATTGTAATACCCGTACTCTCTAGTCTCTTACTACTAGTACTACACTACTATATTACTACTATTTAGCGTTCGTTTACGTTTTAAGTTCCTCCTGTTCTTCTTCTTCCTTCTTCCCATCTATACAGACGGAGAGAACAGCAACAGAACGGATTCGCAATGATTTCAATTCAATATGATAGATTGGAAAGTCGTAAAGGACTAGAATAGAATGGATTTGACTGAGTAGAGGGATGTAAGAGTAAAGTAAAAGTATCCAAGTAAATCATGTTGCTTGCATTGATTATAACTACATGAAACTGAAAGTAGTTAGATTTTAATACTCTGTAACTATTTAACAATAAAAGAGATAAACTGTCGACCGTTCTCCTAATTTTCTCAATCAACTGAGCCTATAAATTAGGACTAGTTGGAGTCAGGCCAGGCCAAATAAAAGACTGTTACTATTGACTTTAGATCTTAGGCACCTTGTCGAGGTGACACCTTGACATGAGCGAGCACGTCAACACGAACACGGTACTTCATACATATCAATACGCACTCCTTTGTGGTGGCAGGTTGTCGTGGAGGTATCTTGTCAGGGACGTGCATGTAAACCGGGATTATACGTGGTGGCGAGTTGATGGAGGTGTATACGAGAACACAACCCGCACTGTTTCAGAATATTATGGTAGCTGTCTGTCGGGATGGTAAATTGTTGTTAGCATGTTCGTATACGCTCCCGTTAATCAACCATCTCTGATTAAACTGGTGGTGGCAATTAAGTTGTCGTGGTCGATCGTGTTGGTGACCCTTAATCTATGGGTTTTTAATCATACATTATTTTAAGTGACAAACACAAAAGTTGATTTACATACTGTTTTTGGCCTTATAAGGATTAAGATAAACCTTTTATAATTTAATAATAGACCTTATGTGATAGAGTAAGTATTCAAGTGCAACCCCATTCTTGGGAAAATATTTAATCTATAACGAATAGTTTATATACTATATCTTAAGACGTTACTCTATGATTTGCCAGAAGTCTTGACGAATAAAAGGTTTTGGCAAGTTCTTCTTGTGTTCTACTGTCATTCTTGATCATGATCATTTGCAGCCGCAGGGCGCAGACGATTATCTGGTATATTAAAAGATAGTGAGAAGGCCTAAATATTTAATTTTCATTTTTACCCGGTAGATATCAAACCTTTATATCAAGGAAAATTTTACTATTTTTATTCTCATGGAGGCTGAAACAGTTTTGAACAATTTAGAAAAATCGGTATGAATTAATCAAATTATTTATTACTGTATAGATTGACTGTAGCCTATAGTGAATGTTGTCAAATTTAATTTGGATACTGGAGTTTCAAAAATTGTACTCCTTAGTTTTACATCTAAATATTTATTCTGTTGTAGTTAATGTATCTGCTTGTGCTTTGGTACAATTTGAATGTCCATGTTCTAAAATTTTAAGAAAAAATTACTATTTCTGTTTAGGAGTAATCTAACTTAACTAGGCTAAGTAATTTGATCCAGAATTGGACAGCATCTGTAAGGGTTGTCTGTGGATTAAGGTCTCAATCAAGCTTTTGTTACCTAGGGAGCTAGCTCAAATATGAAACCAGTGTTGTGTTCTTTACTTTATTTAAGTTAATATTCTAGCTGCATTACACTTCCATAAGGCGCCAAAGAATATTAGCCTATTTATTAAAAAATGATAAATATACCATAATATTCCAATAAATATTAATCACTTTCTTTGGCTAGGCTAATGAACTCAAAAAAGAATGTGTTTGTTTTTACACTATTCTCTAGGAAGAGGATTAACCCCTATTGGAATTCATCGCTAGCTAGTTGATCTGTAAGCAAACAAGTTTTCTGATCTAAAAATGTGTAATAGTGGCATAGGTAAGTTTAATTTGTAGAAGGTCATACACAAATGCACAATGATTTGTCAGTGGTTGTTCAACAGTTTATATCGAGACAGTGATTCAAATTGAGCAAATTTTGCTTGCTCATGGACAGGTTTAAGACTACTATGGTTTATCCATGATACTTACTTACTTACTTGATACTTGTAGTCTATGTCGTTGACCGATGAAATCGGCATGACTGCGTCAGATTACTAAATACTAAAATACTATTTACACAATACTATTTACACTGTGGCAATGGCTAAAAAGTGGCTCGTTGCCTAATTCTTCGAGGCTGTAAAGAGGCCTATTAACCAGCCTGTCACGCAGGGCCGTCTTATAATCATCAAGGTCCAGATTGCGCACATGAACCGGCTAGGAATTAAACAGCCTTATCGCCGACCGAGGATAACTCTTCAGAGAGCGGGCTAGGCGGCATCTCAGCAGATCAATGTCACAAGCTTGGCGGGTATGGTGGCTATGTACATTGTCTCTGACTACAAAATGATGAATGTTTATCTTCAGCAGGGTCAAGATGTTAAGGACATACTGGCTGTAGACAGTCAACACACCCAACTCGAGGAAGATAGGCCGACAGTGTGCTTTGTAGCCAGAAGATGTTATTATTCTCATCGCTCTCTTTTGTAGTAGGAGTAATTCCTGTGTTGACGGAGAATGACCCCACAGAACCAGGCCATACGTGAGGTGACTGTGAAACAGTGCGTGATACACCGCTAGCAAATACGGTCTGGTAATGGTGGTCCTAAGCTTCCTTAAAAGGTGAAGAACTCTTGAGAGCTTTACACATACCTTTTCAATGTGGTGGTGCCAACTTAGCTTAGAGTCCATCCAGAACCCAAGCAGCTTCACGCTGTTGTCCTCAAGGCCGATCTTCAGGGAACACATAAGGGTCTGAGTCTTCTCCTCGTTGATCTTGAGTTTGTTGGCTATAAACCAGTCCTTTGCCAGCCTCAGGGCGTTGTTTGCCTCCTCCAGCAACGGGTCGATGTTCTTCCCCTTTGTGACCAAGGTGGTATCATCTGCAAACAGGAGGGCATGGCTGGTTGTAGCAAGGTCATTGATCATGATTGTGAAAAGGAGAGGGCCCAGAACCGATCCCTGCGGAACTCCATGGGGAAGAGAGCCCATAGTAGATGAAGCTCCCATGATGGTCACTATTTGTTTGCGGTTGCCAAGGTAGTCCGCAAGAGAGCTGAAAACTGCACCGCCAATTCCGTATTTTCTCAGCTTGGCCAGAAGGATGTCATGTGACACAACGTCGAAAGCCTTGCTGAGGTCACAAAGGCTTAGGTGGACCGATTCATTCTCCTCAAAGGCCTGGGATATGGTGTCGACCAGGCTTAGGAGTGCGGAGGTGGTAGATCGACCGCTACGAAAACCGTGTTGTGAGTCCACCAGTAGGCTATTCTTTTCAAAATATGAGAGGAGCTGCTTCTTCATCATCGTCTCCATCACCTTAGAAAAGATAGGGAGGATAGAGATGGGGCGGAAATTTTCCATGAGTGCAGGGTTCCCTTTCTTGAAGATGGGCACAGTCCGAGCCTTTTTTAAAGAGTTTGGAAAAGGTCAGACTCAGGTCATGTCCTTAATAGTCTCAGAGATCGCAATTCATACTTGACGGGAGCACATATTTTCCTTAATGTTGGTTTGAGCTAATATGGCGTAGCAAATTGTCCAATAGGGAATCATATACCAGTAGTGGAAATTGACTAGAATATTAGTTGATAAAATAAAGAACTTTGCGGCAGTTTAAGATCCGAGCTAGCTTGCTTGATCACAACAGGAGATTGATAGAGACCTTAATTTATGGAGAGCTTTTGTATAAAAGGTCATTTTTCTATATAAGTAATTTTTGCCTACCATAATATGCTTAAACAAATTTTCCAAATTTGTTTTTCTGAACGCATTTTGTCATCAGTAAACTATACATACCTTGCTGAGAAGTATTTAAATCTCTTATTTTATATAGGTGAAAAGGACTGACAGCCACCTTGATAAGATTGTTTGGAAACTGGATGAGTGTGAAAAGGAAGTAACAGACATAGAATGTGATGAGAATAAGGTAGGTTACAGTTACAGTCTTATTCTTATTGATTTGGCTTAGTCACTGGAAGATGTAGGCCTACTCGTGCATATTTATTTGACATTTGATAAGCCTCCTCAAGTAATGTTGGTCTAATGGCCTAGCATATCTTTGTCTACAATATGTTGCATTGTGTATTTTTCAAGAAAATTATATAGGCTAGTAATTCTTCTTTCCCTAGTTTGAAAATTACTTTGTGAAAGATGTCATCAACATATATTCTGTTCTTTCGCGAAGGCTTCCAGAGCAAAAGGATATTTTGGATCTCATTGCCTGTCTACTATTCCACAAATGAGCTACCTTTTTAGGAGTGTTGAATGTCCCAGATTTTATTGTCAGTTTAAGGATTGCAAAAAGTTTCTAACATGTTTATACTATTTTAAACGTGATAATAAATTGACGATTACTATTAACATGCTTAATACCGCATAAATTTCATCATGTGCTGTCTTTTGATTATCTGCGAAGGATTAAAAAATTAAGTTTTAACTCATCAGAAAAATACTTTTGCGTTCTCATAGTTCAATAGGCTTCCGGTACCATGTTTTAAACTGTGGGTTGTTAACGATTCTGGCAGAGTGCTAATATATTTGTTGTTTTGAAATGTGATTCAGTTAAAAAACTTTTATACTACTACTAATTTATCTCCCAATTCCTAGAACTATCATATTAAATCAGTTTCAAATTACATGGGTAGGTACCTATTTAAAGTTAAATTTTGGATCTTTAAACTTTCTTGAACATTAATGTATGACATCAAGGGTTTTACAAAATCAATGAGTCAAAAATATTCCCTTTTACATTGCTTTTATTTTTCCAGGAATCTGTCATGCATCTCTTAGAGACGGTAACACAAGTTAAGCAACATTATGAAAATCTGCGTAAAGAGATATCTGAAGTACAAGAACTTCAGAAGCAGGTCCAGGATTCGTTGAGAGACAGCACTATGCAGGTTCAGACCCGTTGTCGCGCCTTGCGGATGAAGCTAATAGGGTACCAGTAGATTTGCACAATTTTTCCCAGTCAATATTCTAAAACATGTACCTTAATGTTGTTATTATTTGATCTGTTTCTACTTAAAAACCTCACAATATTTAATTAGGAATAAGTAATAAGCTCAATTAAAAGGCTTATATACAGCCTCATACCATACAGTATTGAACCCGAAATGTCCGATTTGTATTGTTTATACTTGTTTAATAGTTCCATGGCATGTCAACCTTATTGCACTAATAGCCAATGGTTTGGCGATCATTTAGAAGTTTACCTAAACTCACTCAGTTATTGGTTGATCCAGACCTAAATTGCAATTTATGTTAAAATGTCAATTACAAAATATATTTCTCTCTATTCTGGACAAAAGTTAAACCTGTTTTTGAAAGAGTTTTGTCAAATACATTTATATGCGTCGAGTAGGTTTTAATATGCTCAATTTTTTGTTGGTGTTAAAATAGATAGCAACAATATCAAAACAGATAATGTCAGGTGGTACCAGTTTGTGGTAGTTGTAGTAATTTAATAAAGAACAAACTTTTCTTCTCAAAGTCTGTTGACCAAACCAAAGTATTTCAGTTTACAAGAGGAACTTATTTGTATTGAGTGCTGTGAGAAGATTGGACAAATATATTTTTATTTGCATAATACAGTACCGTATTGTGAGATTTGTCTGTAAACGTATGAAAACTATTTTAACAAAAATGTAAACATGGCGTGTAAGTTGAATGATTGTTAAATATAAAGCCATTTTTATACATTCTCATTTGGAGAGCCTTGAAGATCACAGGGAAAAGAATTGTATTTGTAAATGCTGCAAGTAGGCCTATAGTAAAAGCCATCTAATCCGGCATCAATTTCAAAGTAAAAAATCTTTTTGAGTGCTAATTTAAGTCATGTTAGCTCAGTCAACAGAGGGGTGTAATATATATTGCCAGGAGCGATTGGCAGACATCAGTTGCACTCAATTGAATTGGAGGATGTTTATGTCTATTTATTGTTGGCGTTTTATATCACTACTAAAATAGAAGAAAGTACAATAAAACTCAAAATAATGACCTGACAGCCAACGATTTTCTTTTGATACTCTAAAATTAGTTGTTATTACAAGAAGTTCAATTGGCTAATATAATACAGTCCACTCTTGGTAGTTCAAACACTTGATAATTCAAAACTTTCGATAATTCAAAATGAAGGCTCAGTCCCTAGAGAATCTCTCAATATTTCAAATGTTTACCATGCATTTTGATACACTCGGTATTTCAAAGTCCAAATAGAGGGCAGGTCAATTTGTAACACGCAGTAATTCAAAGTTTCGTCGAAATAACACTCTATAATTCAAAGTAACTCAGTAATTCGAAGTTTCGTCGGTTAATACTCTTTAATTCGAAGTCATGCTGTAATTCAAAGTTTCGTTGAAAAAACACTCTATAAATCAAAGTCCCACAGTAATTCGAAGTTTAGTCGGCAAAACACTCTATAGTTCGAAGTGATCTCTTCCTGTTATAACAGGAAACTATACAGTACAGTACATCCTGTTCCCATGGTAGGCTAGTGTTGGACGTTTTGATGTTTTTTAGTTAGAGCAGTAGTCTGAGTTAGTTCGCTGACTTGTTTTTCTAAGTTGGCAATCCGATCTCTAGATTGTGCGACATCTCCTTGAGCACAAACGTAGTTGTCGACAGCTGATAGTTCAGCTATTGGCGAAATAGCGCTAAATAACAGATTTCTTTGCAACTACAGTAACTGAAAAATAAGCCGTTGATTGTTTAAAAGTGTACTAAAATACGGTATGATGTTTTATTGTAACGTGCTGTACCTTTGTATGTGTTAAACAAAAAAACTCTCTGTAATTCGAATGGTTTATTTTTCTCCCGATAAATCAAACTCTTGATAATTCAAAACTCTTGATAATTCAAATTGATATGCTTGGCCCACCAATTTCGAATTATCAAGAGTCTACTGTATTTTCAATAATCCGGCACTGCCAAAGTTCTGAACGTGCCGAATCCAGCATCTACTTTAGCGAACCTTTTCAACTGTTTAAAATATCTGTAAAATCCACTCTTGAATTTTAACTATATTTGAAAAGGTTCATAGTAAAACAACAAACACTCAATGGCATTACAGAAGCAACCAACTTATAATAAATGTTGGGGAAAAATCTGTCTTTTAAATAGTTATAAGCAAAAATACTTTCGAGAAACAGAAGGTATTTTGTTCTGTACGCTTACTATCATAGACTGAATTAGGTTTTATCCAATAATGTACATTATCAATGTGTGTACTGGTTCAACCAGTTTAATGTGTGTGTGATTGTTCAATAGATTTGATGTCTCAAATATGATTAAAAGCACTCCAAAATTAGTCACTTTACAATGATTCCACTTAAGGGTGCGCTCTACCTCAGCTCGGATTTCTCAATACGAAGTTGCCGAACGCCGATGTCCCTATACCATTGCATTGAATAGCGCCATGAAGAGCGCTTGCAAGCCTTTCGAGTCTGCGTGATTACATAGTTATTCTTAAACTTTTTAGAAAACTAAATGCAGGTTCTTGTTTTTAAGAACCTATTGCACTGTTCCCGTTTTACATTTTTCTCTAAAAAATATTTGTATGCATTTAAACTTATGATAAAAAACACGTATTTTAACATTTTTACCAACCTTTGAGCCCAACATTTTTGAGTTACCGTATCAAAATTTTAAAAACCGGCAAAACTACTATATTATTTAATGAAATATATGACACCAAGATCTTTTTAACCGGTTCACAATTGGGGTTATAATTAGTAAGAACTAAACCCCTTGCATTCGCGTGCGCCAGACGGGTAGAGCGCAGCCTTAAAGTGACGGATTGCATAAGTTATTTTTGTCAATTTTAAACTATAAGTATCCATGGCAAAAAAAGTAGTTCACTTTCTAAGTTTTTGAATGCAAACAGAATATTCTTTGATTAATCATGTTCTAGACAACAGTTTTATTTTTAATGAAAATTTGTTTACCTTTTGTATATGAAAGAATATTAAGAAAATACAGTTAATGAATTTAATTTTACCTTTGTAATGTTTAAGAGAGTATTTAATTAATTCTTTATTATTTCAATTCAGAAATTCAACTGTCCTAAAAAGATTTAGTAGGTTTTACTCGTAAAACGAACTATCACGAACAACATTGTATTATTTTTAACTAATTTGAGAAATATTAACATTTTTTCCCGTTCATAAATTATACTCTGTTCACAAAATTTAGGGGAGAAGCAATTAGATCCCCTCCACATCAACCTAACTACGAAACAACAGCCTACAGCTGATTAACTGATATATGCAATAATTTTAAATTATCAGATATCCAATATAAGTACTGTTCTGGTTATATGTAACAAACTTGATCCTGTTAAAAAGATAATCGGGAATGTTTAAAAGATTATAAGCTTAGTATTTTCCAACAGATCATTGACTGTACATAATTTTTCCCTGAAAAAAAAATAATTCAATTCAAATCATTGACCTTAAATCTTAGCTTTGTACTCAGTTTGTAGATAATTGATTTCAGAAAAAGTATTAAAATTTTTAAGGTAATGGATTAATATGTTTTTTTTTACTAGACTAGATAACTCAAAAATGTAAATCTTAGATAAGACAAGATTCAAAAAATGTTTCTTCCGTAAAACATCTATAAAACATATGCAAATATTTAATTTATGATCATACCACTAATTTAGGTTACCTTTAGCCTAATAGAAGGTATAAAAAACAGCTCAATAATTTTTAACATTTGACTTTAAAAGCTACAAATAAAACTAATAGCATGTGAGCATAGACTGTTAAAAGACTGACTACATTAATGGTTATCAGCCAAACAAATTTTTTATCCCACTTTTACCTTTGTGTCAAATAATTATTGTACAAAATTAGCACAAATAATTGACTCATTCTTCATACATTAAAGTAGATTAGTGTGTTTAAATTGTGATAAGACACTTTTTATTAGTTTTAAGCCTTGGATTTGATCATTTTCTTTATATATATATACAAATATATAAATTTATTCTTGAACTCACTAAATGTTTTCACTCCACTCGCACAATGTTAACCCAAAAGGTAGATGATTAGTGTATATTTTGTAAACGTTTATCCTTATCATATTATGCATGTTTTATTAATTAACAAAACCTTTACGGTACTTGAAAGAACAATTATTTTCTAGTCAGATAATATAAGTTGTTAGTATGATGTAATGACAGTGCTACTTAAATAATACAGAATGTGCCAAAAATATTAAATCATTAAATGAAGTTAATATGAAATGTTATCCATTCTAAAAACTGCTACATGTTGATGCAATATGAATTACCAATTTCAAAATACATACACATCTTCAAAATCAAGGTAATTTAAATGAAGGATAAATTAAAATATTTCATGTTGTAGTTAACACATTAACAGTACTATGTAGTACTATACACTTTGTACAGAGGTGTACAAAATGTTTTTGTTTTTCAAATTCACACAGGATTAATACGTTTGGGGGCCCATTTTTTAATTGTTGAACAGGCAACATTTAGCTAAAGAAACTTAGTACATAAGGACTGTTAGAGTAAAATACTAGCTTAGTCTATTGCCTCAAAATAGAGTGTTTCAGGGGGAAAAGTCAAATTATTAAATGTAACCCCACATAAATGACACCTCCGTTTAATGGTCTTAACATAATATCTTAAAAACTATGATCTGTATCATTACTCAGTAAAAACCGGCAGCCATTTCAAAATTGAATAAAGTTATAACTTTATACAAGCAAACTAATTATTCCGTCATTAAACCTTCCATAAGTATTTGCTCAGTAATCCAATGCCTAGCACACCTAGGACTGACATCCTATCAGATCAGTTTTAATTGTTTCAAATATACCCCCCCCCCTTTGGAACAACTCCACATTCTAAAGGGTTTATAAAAAAGGCATACTTAAAAATCTGGGTAACGGTATCTGTTCCTTAAACAAAATTAAATGATTGCAATGTCAATTTTTTTACGGAATTAACAACCAATAGCTCTACTTTATGTTTGAAAGTTTAAAAATGCTCCCAGACTTAAATTTTGTCTGGTCAATTCCTTAAATTTCAAAAACTTAATTGGAAAATTCAATCTTATAAATTTCCTATGAATATGAGACAATTTTTGAAGCACTGTATTGTTATCTGTAGTTATTGTTACATTTGATAGATATATATGTGATGTACTTTGTTGGTTCAACTTAGTGTTACAAAAACTATATGTTTCATTATTGATGTTATAACTATGTAATTGTGTTTTCATAATAAAGATGATCTCTTGAATGAAGAAGTTTTTGGTGTTGATTTTTCATAGGGTTGCCTTAAAACGTCCATGAAAATGATACAATGTTTTTTTGCTTTCACAAAATTCAATTCCTTTCTCTAGTATTCTTTAGTACCAAAATATTGTGATGTAATGTGCAGAACAGTTCCAGGCTAGTGTCCTAGGAGATGAGGGGATTGTTTTGGTTGGTGCAACACCCATACTACTTGCTGCTATGTGCACAGTTTTGGATAAAATAATCCCTAAAAATCTAGGACGAACAACTCCTAGTAGCTTCACAACTCCAATCCATTTGAACTCACCAATAACTAGAATAGCACGATACAAGGTGTCAGCGGATGTTAGAGCTTGATGCATCCTTTAACCTTGTATTTGTCTGTCGGTCTAAGCAGAAATGATATGAGTGAGCAGTTGTAGTATAAAAATAAATGGTGATAAAATTGTTCTGGAGACATTGGCATAAATATTTCTGTAACTTTTCCAGGTTCCTGAATTGCATTAAGCCATACTAGGACATACCGGTTCTAAATGATTTCCTTCGGTCACTAATTACCATATTTTACTACTTGGGTATAGATGGATTAATTCAACCGTAATATATTTTATCTGTAAGGTCATTACCATATCAGGTCACAACAAATCCTTCTACAAGAGTCCCGTTATTAAAAAATAACTCTGCATTATTCCAAACGCTACTCGGAATAAGCGGATTACTGTATTAATTCATCATGTTCATGCTGTAGATGTTCACAGTTTTTTTTCATGTCCCTTCTGTCGCGGAAGATATTCACAATTTTGCCGTAATATTGGGATATTTTTACGATTTTTCCATGACAATGCCGATTTTATTTTTGCCATTGTAGAAAGTGTCAGCAAAGATACGATTTCAAGCATTGCCACGATCGCGGGTTATGTTCTCGGTTTTGACACAATCGCCGGAGACCATGACAATGTCTCTGCAACTGCGGAAGACGTTCACAGTTCAGCCGTGAATATAGTCCTCGCCACTCTAACTTAAGGCAGCCCAAGGCCGTACACCGTATATCTAGTGCGGCCTTGGGCTGCCTCAGGTTAGGGTGGCGAGGACTATACAGAATACTTGATTTCATGTTAGTTATGTTTTTGTAACAAGGTCTTTAAAAAATAATAATAATAATAGTTTCCGAACTTTAGTTTGGAATGGCCAGATTTCTGGAATAGCGAAACTCACTTGTAAGTGGTTTGCTACTGTAATCATAATTGACTGAAGACAATATGAATTATGACTCGTACACTCTCGAGTAGTGCATGTCTTTACAACAGATAGGCATCATATTTATGATTATATATCTAATCAAACTAAGCAATAGAGTATGCATTTTTCCAGATTATCATACTTGAATATTATCATATCTTGTGTATCTACAAAAATAAGTATCACTACTGCGACGGATGGGAAAATAAAAAATCCAGTTAATAATTTAAACAAAACATATATTTTTTATAAAATAAACATTTCAAGATAATACAATAATAGACATATTATGGTTAAAAATCAAAACATAAATATTCCAGTGAATCTTTACTGCTAATTTCAAGGATATATGTACATGTATATCCTTCATAAAAAGGTTAGCTTTTACTGTGGTATTTGGATTTCAAATGAGAAACAAAGCATAGGCATTTAACTATTTGCTTTGAAATTTTCCCTTCGCGTAGAGCCTCATACACTTAATAAATACTGGAATTGTTTGACAATCCTAAGCTCCGTCAAAATACTGGGAAGGAACCCCATCTTTATTTTATGTAAGTTCATCATTTAATGGATTGTTTGCATAAACTATTTAGATATCATGACAACTTTGGATACCAATGTCTTTTCCAAAAATAAATTGTGTTTTGTAAGCCTATATGCAGGGTATTTCTTTTTCCAAACACAACCCAAATTAAAACACAAGCTCATAGGTTTGCCGCTATTTTGAAACTAAATAGAACCTACTTTATCGTCTCAGAACATCTCACAATTCCATCAGAGCTGGTGAAATACTGATGACTTAGACCTGTCTGTGACTTAGATGTGTCTCTGACCTGATCTCGTAATTAACTTACACGATTTGGATAGTTTAGGCAAAAATCAACATGAAAAGACTAATTGGATCGGTGAAAAACACAGGATATCACTGTTTGCGTCTTGTTTTGGACTCTGTATTGTATTGGAGATTCAAATTGTTGATTAATAATAAATTGATAGACTTAACTTGGTTTAGTTTTGGAGATATTCCAGTAAAGAGGGAACAAATTCACTAATTTTGACTACTCTATGCTGTAGCAAACTTGCTTCATTGATTGAGCGATCCCTGCAATCAATAGGGGTACGGATTTTCAATATAATATTTTAGTGTACCTTGGTTTTTGTGAACAACACATAAAATACCTAATAATAGTTTTATGATGAGGATACAGCTATGGAGTTTTAAATCTAGTAATATAAGAAGGAAATATGATGCAAAGGAAAACCATTATATTGATTACCTACTTACATAACTATAAACGGTCATTCATAATTTTGATACATTTTCATTCACAATACAACAAACACTACGTCCTGTTTTCATAACGTATAATCAATCACATACATATTAAGGCCTGTTTTGCCAGAAGGGTCTGGTGCATCAAACGCTCAGCGATGATCGCTCCGTGTCAATTGCTGGCCACTGCTTTGTATTGTTTCAGGTAAGTCTATTTTGGCAGAAGCGTCTATCGCTACAGCCGCCAGCGTGTGTAACTGAGCCACTAGCGTCTATCGCGGATCACTGCTCCCAGAGCAGACGGAGACGCAGTCGCTAGCGTCTATTTAAGTTATGTTTTTAACCCAGTTTGAAAGTTTAGCAACAAAGTGGGGATTTAATAGCGAAGAAGATGACAAATTGATTGAAGCCATTTCAGCACACCCTAGGAGGATTTCACACCCCGCTTTTCTAGAACAGAGGTTCCTTTTCTTGTATCTGTAAAATCATAGGACCTACTTCTTCCCTGGGTTCGCACATTTCTAAAATCTCTTCATTGTCAAATTCCTCAGCTAACAAATACTTCTCTATATGCTTTTTACATCTCATTTCACATAGAGCACTCTTTTTGCCACCAAAGAAAACCACTCACTGATCAAATAATCGCAAGAAACAGACGCTTCTGGCAAAATAGCATCAAGCAATAGAATAGAAACTAAACGATTATCGCTAAGCGTTAGACGCGATAGCAGCTTCTGGCAAAACAGGCCTTTACACCGACTTACTATTCAAGAAAAGAAATTGTTTTTCTCTTGCGTTCCCACAGGAAAACATCAAATTGAAATTTTGGATATTTAAAATACAAAAACAAATACTTCACATAACATGATTTACCTGTTCATAAGAAAATGTTTAACTCTTTGTTAACTAACTTGAAACAATTTGGCTTTGTACCATTACAACGTTGTGATACTAAATACATCGATGGAATGAAGACCAGTTTTTACACTATCGTTTGAGTATTCTTCCAATATCTTTGTTCTGTCCTCTCAAAGTTATACCAGCTTTCTCAGTCTTGTCTATTATGTTCTCGACCAGATCGTTCTGTGATTCTATTTCTTCACCAAAATTGAGAGCCAAACCTGAAAAAACATTTTCTTTAAAATATGATAAACAAATTCAAATACATAACAAATTGCTTGATCAGCATTAAGCATTATGAGTATTTAAGAGTATAGTGTTGACGTTGAGGGATACCGATAGTTTTAAGGGATCTCCTGATCTTTATCCAATCATATTAAAGATAGTTTTGTGTCAAAAGCTCAGTGCTCAATTTGTGAGGAGGGGGGGACGCGGTGGAACATAGTTTCGCCACCTTTCTTTTGGAAAGATGAAAAAAATTGTGTAAATGTGTACAAATCCCATTAAATAGGTTACAGTTCCAGTACCTCATTTTTTACAAATCGAGCAATGCAATAGCTACATCAGTTCAAGATGCCTACCACTAAACTAGTAACACTAGTAACAATAAGGTTTTCAAATATTTAACCTTAATAGTTCAGATTTTGACGTTTTGCGATACTTGACCTTAATTTTTATTTTTTAATCACTATCACATGGGAATAGAGATATGATCATTCTAGAAACAAAACCAACATACGTTTTAATCTAGAGATGGAATCAACCATATGGTCCAAATTCTTGTTCAGAGCCTTCTCCGGATCAGCTGCACTGAAGCGTTCACTCGACTCATCAGTCAGGTCCAGAGCTGTTCACCAACAAAGTTACATTTATCAATGTGTCAAGCAGCAAACCTAGGTACTTGTTAAATCTAATGTTTTTTTAATGGGAAATAAATATGTCTTGTTTATGGAAATATTTTAGTAATAAATCCAATCAGGCAAATTAAATTTCGCTTAGTCTCCAGGTTTGCTGCAGCAGTGTTTTTTTTTTTTTTTTTTTTTTTTTTTTTTTTTTACTTTAAGTTAAATTTATATAAATTCTTCTACTGATATGTTTACTCTGACAATGGCATGCACACCATTGTAAGTGTTTTAAGTTAATAAACCTTTTACAATTCTCATGAAAGTCTACTGTAGCGGAGACAAAATTGTGATAATCTCTTGCTGTTGAGTTGAAACCGTAACAATAGCCTGTGACCGTGGCAAAGTTATCAGCATCCCCTGAAATAAATAACATCTATCTCCTTCTATCTCTCCTAGCCATGAATAATTAAACACACTTTTGACTTTTTTTTATTGGACATCATCTTTGTCTCTTGCGTTCGTGGCAACATCGTAAACATCTTTTGCAGCCTCAGCAAAATCGTCAACATTCACTGTGGTTACGGAGGCGTCTACTGTGGTCATGGCAAGATTGTGAATTTGCGATTGTGCAATATTTGTAGACGGTTCTGAATTATTGTTCCAGTTGTAAGCTGCAGCTTTTTTACCCTTTTCTGATCATTCTGTTGAACAATCCAGATTGATATATCTAACTTGAGGAAAATATATTTTTTAAATTATAAACTTCAAAGAGAGATGTTTTAAAGTAAATCATTCTTGCATTAAAAATTTGTATTAGTGGGTTATCAAAATCGTAGGTACTCACCAAGATGATTTTGGGATTGAGAGGAAGTACATGGCTTCGACATTTCTGCGGCTACCACAAGCATTGAACCAGAATTTGAAACAGGTGAATCAGGCTTGTATCTGCTTCCTTGTGGTTCACTTGATTTTGTCCCACTAAGATAATTCTTCAATGATCCAAAAACACTCTGTAAATTAAGAATTAATGATGATAAAGAATTCCATAACCTGTAATTTTATATTGATAAATGTTCTGTTGAAAAACCCTCTGTACGAAAATGATTAACAGGTAGATCTGGTCAACACTTTTGAGTAGTATTCAATTTTAAAATAAGCACCTTTGTAGTGGATGGATAAAACACACCCAAATATAAAAAAATATTACAGGTTTTACAGAACTTGGTAACAAACAAAGAAAACATTTAAGGACTTTTTTTCATTTTCAAAGAATATCATAACCTAGAAGGCCACACAACTTAAAGTTAAGTACATACGAGAAAAAATTACAAAAAAACTTACCTTGATACCCTGAATGTGCTTTCGACTGAAGCTAAGTGAGCTGTTGATATCATCCAGATGTTTTTCAGTTCTCTGTAGTTGCTCCCTTTGTCGTAGCAATTCCTAAAGAATATTAAATATTTCTATTAGGTTATAGTTTTGAAACAGAATAATAAACCATGTTCATTTGAGTCACTTTTTAACACATTTAGATTACCAATGGTTCATAAACAAAATCCAATTATATAAACCAGCTGTACACACAATAATCTGACCAATTAGACCGATGATATGGTAGATTAAGACTACAGCAACCAAAAATATCATTATGCAATTTTTTTAATATGGTGGTTACTGTTGGAATAAATAAATATCTATAGACAGGTATCGTAATCAATTTTGAATATACAGAACGAAACGTAGAGGCTACACAACTCTTCAAAAATTAGGTTTATGAAATTTTTCATGGCCGACAAGTCAATTGCTGGAAAAATCGGATAATTACCAACCACTCTATATCTACAGAGGACTATTGTGAGATTGTACTGTGCATAAAACAAACTTGCATCCTACTGAAAGGTTAATATGTCTATTTATTTTTAACCTGTCTGTATCTTACTTACTGGTCCGTCTTAATAATTATGTTTAGTATCAGTGACATGACCTGTACATGTCTATATTTTTGGCAGTAAATAAAAATTATGATTCTGAACTGTCGTTTCAACGGCAAAACGTTGGGTCTACTTACCTCTGCAGTTGATACACCAATTTCTTCTGTGGCTAAAAGTGTTTTTAGTGATCTCTGTGATGTCTCAACGATTCTTGCTTGAATTTCCTTTGCTTTTCGCTGATGGAGTTGTTCAGTGTCACTTGTGTGTGAATGTTGGACATCACCCATTACGTACCCAGATCTTCCAGATTGTGGATGCCGCAAAACCTCATCATCAACTTCTTCGACTGAGAATAAGTCTGATTCATCGTTACTTAAATAATTAGACATACTTCTTACCGTGTATTAGAACTCTCTTGGTTAAAGAATAACCAAGCAAGAACACAATCTTTGGTTTAGTATGGTTAGTGTTGAAACATTTAACCCAAAACTGGACCAAATGATAGCTGAACCACTTAAAGAATGAATAATGATATCAATGGAACTCTCAGTCAAGTGTACACAAGGACAAAATTGTGGTTTTTAATGAATCGGTGTCTTTGTCTCTTATAATCCAGATCCAGACGATAAATCAGATATCAAAATGACAGAAGAAGAAAGATGATTATTCAACTTATAGAAAACCGAATCATACCCACAGACAGATTTATTACATCTATAATGTCTGTGATTTTCATCTTCTTATTCCTCCAAAAAGTATACTTTAATTTTTTTTATTTTAATTTTAAGTGTCAGTTAATTTTTTATCTTGGTTAAATAGCATTTACACAATATAAGGGGTTTACTTGACCTTATTTTGTTACTTGATAACATTTACCTCGCTCATTTGAAATTACTATTATTTTCTAGGACTGTATGCATAGCTAGAGAATATTTTGCAATAACACTTCGAGGTTGCATTTTTAGCAATGGGTAAGAGAAGTTTTTATTTTCCCTCTGGTTTTGATACAAAAATCCCTAAAAAAAAGTTATAGCACAAAAATAAATATTGCTAAAAAATTGTTCTGGTGGCATTGGCATAAATATTCATGGAATTTTGCCAAGTTACTAAATTTCAATTTGCCATAGACAAAATTATAAATATCCTTCAGTCACTTATCACTGTACTTTACTACTTGGGTATAGATTGATTAATAATTAAACCGTATCCAATTGTTTCTGTAAGGTTGATGTTGATACCTAAACAGTTGACAGGAAAAAACTAATATCTCTATCTCTCTCTATAGTACAGTAGAGTCTCTATATTTGAAACTAACTGGACTTATTCCAAACCCTATTCGGAATAAGCAGAATTCTGTAATAACTGGTCATGTTCACAAGTTGATGTTGACAATTTTTTCTGCAAACGTGGGAGACGATGATATACCTGCTGATGCGAAGATGTTCATGATTTTACTGTGTTCACTATATTGTGCAGTAATATCGAAATAATTTTACGATTTTGCCGTGATAGCACCAGGCTTTTGTTTTTGCGATCACAGATAGTGTCTACAAGGATACGATTGAATGTTTCGCCACGATTGTAGGTAATGTTGATGGTTTTGACACAAATGTGGTTTCTGTGACTGCGGAAAAAGTTTACAATTCAGCCGTGACTGCAGATAACATACTCGATTTTATGTTACCTTCATAACAGTCTTTAAAAAATAATAATAATAGTTTACAAACTTCAGTTCGGAATGGGCAGGTTTTTGGAATAGTGAACCTCTACTGTAAGTAGTTTGTATAGACTTAATTACATTTTTCAAAGGTGGATTCAGCAATTTAGTTTTAACATGGCTTGAAACCATCTAAATTTCTTCGGACTTCATAATAGTAAATCCATAACCTAATTATCATAAGCGACTGAAGACAATGTCTGATACACTTTTGAGTAGTGTAATGTATTTTTACAACAGGTAGGCATCATATATGATCATGTAATATAACTAATCCGACTTAGCAATAGAATATGTTTCAATAGAATTTTCCAGATAATCATACTACATATTATTAACTTTTGTATCTATCAAAATAAGTATCACTACTACAACGGGTGGGAGAAGAAAAAAATCAAGTTATTAAGTGAAACAAAAATATATTTTTAATAAAACAAACATTTCAAAATAATACAATAATACACATATTATAGTTGAAAATCCAAACTTCCTCTCAAATAACGAGAACCATTCTATATAATTATGTCTCGTAAGTAGGCCTATAAATCGCGTAACTCAATTTTATTAAATTTTTTTTTTACTTTTGCAGAAATATCAAGGGGAAATGTGCCATCCGTAAATAAAGATACATTTGATCAAGTAATTCATTCAATTAAGTTTGGCAAGTGATTTAGGTGGTCCATTCTGGAATGTGCTAAATTACAACAGGACAGACATTGGGAAAGTTCAACTACTATGGCACTTCATAGGAATGTTTACTTTCAATGACAAAGAAGTGATCTCCTTAACTATCAATTGCAAGCTGAATTGACGGTTTTCACCAAAATCAAAAAAAAGTATACATTTTTTTAACAAAAATAAAAATTATTTCAGTAATTATCAATACCATAAGCTTAAATAATGAGCTCAATATAAACCACTTCGATGGTTGTAGTTTATGGAACACAAATCACACATTAATCATTAACATCTAACTTAAGTCTATGTGGGGAGTGAGCTGGCGTAGTGGTTTGAGCGTGGGACTTTAACCCTGAGGTCCCGGGTTCGATCCCCGCCTAGTCACCAATGAATTTTATCCAAGTGATAATGCCGCAACCCCTAGGTCTAGCCTGAAGTAATGTGAAAAACAATCCCAGGCTCGTGCCTAGTGTCCTAGGACAAAAAACAATGTATCATCAAGCTTTTTAGCGAATTTCCCATATAGCGAATAAACTATTACCGTAGGTCTCGTGGTAATACCTAAGCCCAGGACCGATTTACTTTTTCGTTTTGAGGTCCCCAGATGCCAAAAACACCATCCGTTCAAATTCATATACATATATATACACGTCTGTTAGCGCGATAACATGAGCAAAAATGATCTGTTTTTTGATAAAATTTGGTACAAATGTGTAAACTTACGTTTATTCGAATGAGTTTGCTAACCAGCATAATCGGACTATGGGAACAGGGGTTAAATGGTTAAAAATTGATTTTTCCTATTTTTTCCCCTACAAACACGAATTTTCATAATTTCTCTCCAAACTATTTTGTAGAGCTTAAAAAAAGAAACAATTTTGTACAAAGCATTGTTGTATGCCCAACCGTTTATGGAGTTAATTTGAAAAATGTAAATTTAAAATTCCCATGTTATTCTTATGGAGAATAAATAAACTGTTGCCAAATTTGGAAATGTTGTTTGTTTCATACTAAGCTATCAACATTCAATAAAAAAATACACCTCAATATCTTCCCTGTAGCAGCAAAGTACTCACTAAAATAATGTTATTTAGATAGGAAATAAATCTGACAATTTTCAAGACATATTTTAGTAAAATTCCAGCCTGGTAAATGGAAATTCGCTTAGTCTGCAGGTTTGCTGCGGCGGAGGTATTTGTATTGAAAGCTGCTTTAAATGTTCCCTTCGCCTAGAGACTCATATCAAAGCTCACACACTAAATGAATACTGGGATTGCAACTTAAGCTCAGTCAAAATACTGGGAAAGATATCCTATTTTCATGTAAAGAAAAAGTAGTTCAGCATTTAATGGACGGTTTGCATAAACTAAAACTATTTAGATGTTGACATCTTTGGATAACCAATGCCTTTATATTTTATGCCTATATGCAGGGTGTTCTTTTTTTACACAACCCAATTTACCAGTACAGAGTCATTGTTTAGACAACCCAACCTCATAGGTTGGCCGGCCTGTTAAAAATGAAATCAAGCATCCCACAATTCCGACAGAGCTGGTGAAACAGGTGACATTGGCATACCTCAGTTTAAATACTGATCAGCTTGTATGCATTGTCGTCTACAAGGATCAGTGTTATTGGGAATTTATTGTGAATAAGACAGAAAATTGTGTTTTCGAAAGCTGAAAGGGTGTGTACTGTGTAGGGGTGTGCGAAGCAGCAAAAAATTTTCGATTCGAAGCAACGATTCGATTCAAAAGATTTTCGATTCGATTCGATGCAACTCGATTCGAAGCAATACGGTATTTTTCTATTCATAATTGTCAATTGAGTGGATTAACAATAATTAAAATGTATCACATTTGTGTAATACAAATTTTTGTTGATGTGGTATTAGGCCTATTTCATACTTTACATATGAATTTTAGGTGAAAAAATATTTATTTTCAATCATATGTATTAGAATAACTGCTGGAAATACCAGTGAGCTGCTTTACTTGCCTATTTCATAATTTTTACTTGAATTGGCTCAACTGCAAGAAAGAAGAAAATATTTTTTTTATCAAGACATTCATTCTCATTTTAATAACTGTTTAAATAACTAAATAGGTGCCGGTAGCTAAATTACAACAAATTTGAATGGAACTTAATATAAAAAGACCATTAAGAAATAAATTTACATATCACAAGTTTAGGGCCTGTGGACCGGCTTCAGGACTGCAAGCAAGAAGAAAATAAAAATAATATGTTTCCACCATGCAATATGTATCATTCATTCCCTGCCTCCTAACCACCTTAGTATAATAACCTCACACTTACATTATTTGTTACATCATCATAAATAAAGAATTATTATTGGCATCAGTAGGCCTACAGCTTTACCTAGGCATTATTTTTATAGGGCCTAAAATAGTAATAGGCTAGAAGCAACATGTCAAGTGGAGAACTCATTGAAGAAAAGATATTGTGTAAACTAATTTCCTATAAAACTCAAAAACAGTAAATAACATACAAACATTGTTTATGGTATAATTAATAAGGACTAAAAAATGCATATCATGTCATACAGTAGTATAGACCTACTGCAAGAGATTAAAATCCTAAAACAACTGATTTTGATAGCTAATGAATGAAAAGAATTAAAAATCCATAAAATAAAGCCAAACAATATCACAACTAATTAGGTACCTGAAAAGTAACTCTTAAATAATATATAGAAGATTAAAATAATATTAAATCAAGAGACAAGAAAGTTAAATGCTATCTTCTAGCCTAGTGCCCTTGGCAACACAGGTCAATGTTTTTAAACTACCCTCAATGTTTTTGGAACAGCAGGGCCTTTTTCTCTTAAGGAAGGGTAGTAGTATGTCAACAAAAACAATGAATCAGTCTCACCAGCCAGGCCCGGGCAACGATGTGTGAATTCAAGGTCATAGACCCTCCCCCTCCCCTCTTACACCACCCGGTTGCTACCCAGTTGCTTCAATTGCTGACAAAATGCAAGTGATGAAACAAGGGAGTAGAGACAAAGAAATATATTTCTTTATTCAAAAACACAAAACTGTTAGAGATTATTTTCAAAGAAATTAATTCAATGTAATTTGTGAGTTGTAAATATTGTATTGGATCTTAGAAATATATTTTTTTAACCCCATCTAACCAAGATACAGATCTGTTCACTATATCAGATATTTCTTTTGTTTATAATTTATTATGTAAAATAATAAAATATATTTTTAATTAGGTATTGAATAAACAATAAATGATTATACTAGTATGTCTGGATAAATAGTCTTTCTATTCTTTTGACTTTGTTTTCTTTGCACTGTTAGTGTTGCGTCACGGCTTTTGTCTTGTTACTCTTATCAGTAGACGACTAGACCTGGCTCTGGCTAGTGGCAGTGCCGCAATTGCTCTGTTGTATCTTTATTCTTAAAGGTCGTGAGCCAACTTAATTTTTAATTCTCATTTGAACATTTTAATTCCTCTGTAATAATAGATATAATAATATAAGAGTGTTTCTTTGGAAATAAATTATTCTTTTTTTTTTCTTTTGCCCCAACAAAAATTCGGGGACGGGGACCGGCAGACACCTAACAAAAATACCAAATGAATCAGTCTATAACATTAATTTTACTAGTTAAGTATTAAGTAACAATTTTTCAGACTTATTTTTAAAATGATTTTGGAGTAACCTACCTTGTTTTGGCTAGGTTCACAGTAGTAAAATATTTCACACACTGCTTACATCAAGACAAAAAACAAACCTCTAATCATTTGCAATGTCAAAACAAAAAAATATAAAACAATTAAAGCTATATTTAATGCAAAGAATGTATTAAATAAGAACGCCTTCGTAAAGGAAACGCAACAGCAACGCGCTCCTGTATTGCGGGTATTGCATTGACTTTCTGCAGGCGTTTTTCGTATATGGATACTGACTCCCTCGTGAATCGAATCGTTTTTTGACCACCACTGAATCGAATCGCGATTCGATGCATCGAATCGAATCGAATCGAAATTTCGATGCATTTTCGATGCATCGCACACCCCTAGTACTGTGTAATGCAGGAGAACACATTTAAGATGTAAGTCATTTGTTTTATGCCAGAAAAGGATTTCAATTAAGCTTACAGGTGGTATTCCATTACCCAATAAATCTACTATTTATTGACTTGTTGAACAAATTCAGAACCCCTGATCCATAGGAGAAACGGGCAAAATTCTTTTTTTAATATGATAGATAAAAAGAAGAGCACAACTTTGTTTGTATGTCAACGGCGGATTGAGTGAACACTTAACGTAAGCTAAATGTAATCAAACTGAAATAATAGGTTGTATAAAATTTGTTGTTAATCCATTTATTTGGATACTTAGATCTTAAACAAATCAGGTTGCGTTTAAAAAAAAAAAACTCCCTACTAACTAACGGTGTTTTCATCTTAATCTCATCAATAAGGGGTAAACATTTTAGTAGGCCTATAATATTTTTAAGATGAGGATACAGCCATAGAGTTTTAAATCATGAGAATGTAATATAAGATACATGCAAATAAGAACCATTTAATAACATTATATTGATTACTTACATAATTTTAAGCAGTCATGCATAATTTAGATACATTTTCAATTGCAATACAACAAACACTATGTCCTGTTTTAATAACACTATCGATTAATCACATACACATTACACTGATTTACAATTCAACACAAGAAATTATTTTTCTCTTGAGTTCTCACAGGAGAACATAAAATTGAAATTTTGGATATTTAAAATACAAAAGCAAATGCTTTACATAACATAATTTACCTGTTCATAAGAAAATATTTAACTCTTTGTTAACTAACTTGAAACACTTTGGCTTTTAACATTACAACTTCGTGATACTGAAGACATCGATGGAATGAAGATCAGTTTTTACACTATTTTTTGAGTATTCTTCCAATATCTTTGTTTTGTCGTCTCAAAGTTATATCAGCTTTCTCAGTCTTGTCTATTATGTTCTCGACCAGTTCGTTCTGTGACTCTATCTCCTCACCGAGACCATGGGCCAAACCTGAAAAAACATTTTCTTTAAAATATGACAAACAAATGCAAATTAAAAACAAAAATCTAGAAGTTAATTCACCATTGAGCTTATATATTTGAAACAAGACAGTACAAAGACAATAACCAATACAGTGCTAAGACTGTTTCTTGTTTTAACTACTAGTGTGGTTTTGAATTAGTAAGTTTTCAGCTGTGGCTAGGTTTGTGTACTGACCTTGTTATATATTAGGTTCTTTTTCAACCGGCAACAATATCAAATTACAGACTTCAAAACGTCGAGTGAAATACAGAAGATCGACTGAATGTAACTTAAGATCAGTCTCCAACTAAAAATAATTCTCAACTTACATTTAGCAACGCAATGCTGAGAAATATGTTATCTTCCTGATCAGTCATAGCTAAATAAATATTTATAGTTTATTACAAAATAAAAATCAGAACACAGGTGAGCTAACCATAGAGAGTAGATGGAAGCATAGGTGGACAGTAATAACTATAGTATTTTATTTGTATTTACAGTATAACCTTGATTAACCGTCGCTCTCTTGTTATCCGTAACCCCGATACAGTACAATAGACTACTTTTTAAATGTGATTTTATTTCACAGTCCGAACATTGAACATGTACAAAACACAAAATAACAGTTCTATATTACTTTTGTAAGTAAGTAATTAAATATTTAAATATAATCTGATTAAAAGATAGGGCATTTGCCAGGAATTGTTAAGGAAATTAACAGGAAAGCAGGCTTACCTTTAAATAAGTCCATAGGGCATAGAGAGACATATAAACAACACAAAAGTAGAAATTTTCATGGTCACTGGCCACTTTTTCAACCACTAGAGAAATGGCAATTCTAGAGATTGCCATTTCCCTAGTAGCTGAAAAATTGGTCAGTGGCCACAAACATTTCTACTTTTGTGTTGTGTATGTGTCTCAATGGACTTATTTAAAGGTAAGCTTGCTTTCCTGTCTATTTCCTTATATATAAAAATAGGTTTTGTTTACTTGTACAGGGTTTAATATCTTCAAAACCTTTAAAATTAGCTTACTGTACAGGTTTATAACAGGGTTTCTGTTATCCGTCTATTTGCTTAACCGTCACGCTCTGGTCCCGAGGGTGACAGTTAATAGATGTTCTACTGTACTACAAAATAAGGAAGTTGGACAGTAATAACAAAATAAGGAAGTAAAAAATGAATCCATTTCCATTTTGTTCAAAAGAAGAAAAGAGGGTGTGAGAATTATACTTTTTAGGTTTACCCGTCAGCAGGTAGTCCAATTTTAGCTAAAACTTATTTACAGCTGACATATTTTGTTGCTATGCAACATCTTCAGAGCTTGCAACACATCAAAACATCAAAATTTACCACTAAGTAGGCTACTGTGATGTTGCAATGCAATGAAACATGTCAGCTGCTAATCACTGAAATATTGAAATGTTGACGTAATTTGGACTACTGACCTGAGGTAAGCCTAAAAAGTCATAAACAGAATACGTAGTCCAGGGCCTATTTGAATGAATATTATGTGAGGATTAATCAAATAACACATAAGCTTCTAAAACTAACAGACCTGTTTGCTTATTTTCCTGTTTGCTAAAATAATAATTGTTGAACTATGTTTCACTAACATTGGATTTCTTTTTATAAAATTATGATAAGCGGTTGAGTGATTTGTGTGCCTGTTAGATAAAATGGTACCGTTACTCCAAATCTATTGTAATGGACGGCCTAATATTTTATTAGATAAGCTCATAAGGACTTTGTTCATCAAATAGAGGATGTTCTGATATTAACTTTCTAAAGTGGACACAAATACTGTGTGTAAATTACAAACAATGTTGTTATCTACGTTTACTGCCATCTGACAATCTCTACTTAAAAAGGAGTAGTTTTAAAATTACAATTTCCTAACTCTGGGAACGTATAATCTGGCCTGTTCAAGAGTAATCAAATAACTTATCTGTAATACTCTGAAAAATGTTACTACAGATATGATGTAATTACTTTATAGAAAAATAAACCAATTCTGGATTCTCTAGGCTGATTACAGTTTAGTATAATTGAAATGTTATTACTATCATGTTACTCTTATCTCTGTGTATACCCTAGAATCATTACCGCTCCATACAACGGTATCTGAGCTAAAGTAAAAAGATTTAAAGGATACAGTAGGACATCGAAAACAAGAGCCTTGATATCTCAAATTTCTTGATATGTCACATTTTTCATTATCGCCTGGAATCCCGGTAAATCTTAATGTTAAACCTTGAGAAGTCAAATTTTTGACGTGTGATCATTAATACTTAACTTCTGTTACTCAAAGTTTGTCATTCACATGCCTCAATAACTCCAAATTTTACTTATATAAAGGTTTTCATGATCTGCCTCATTACTAGAAGTTTTATGGCGTACTGTGCAAGTCAGCTGTTTTTTATTCTTGTTGTGATGAGAAAATCCATCTACTTTGTTTGTTTGGCAAGTTCTATTATGTTAGCGTGTTAGTTATTGAGATAATTTTGTGCACGTTGAGGTCACGCTGTTGGTTATGTGTGGATATAAAATGTTTACATACAATGAAAAATAGTTATTTAGGCAGTTGATGAAATGTTAAAAAGTAATAAAAAGTAAATGTTCTGTGTAACCCACAAATTTTTGTTTTGCAGTTTATACAGTAATAAAACAAACAAGTAACTTTTTCTTTGTTATTTTAATGTAATTTTTTAAAATAACTAGTTTTTTTGACTAACAAGTCAAATTTTTACCCTTTCAGCTTCGAGATATCGAGGTCCTACTAACTTCAATTTAAAAACGAGATTAGGTGATCCTCGCCATATTGTAAAACCTAACCTAATAATCACAATATTTGAACCGACATCAACATATCTAAGCCACATAAGGGATGTATTATGCATTGTTAATGATAAGCTACTTAAATCGGAAGTGCACCACTAGCTATTTATTTTTTGTTACCACTCGCACATGGGAATTGAGATGACCATTTTAGAACCAAAACCAACATACCTTTTAATCTAGAGATGGAATCAACCATATGGTTCAAATTCTCGTTCAGAGCCTTCTCCGGATCAGCTGCACTGAAGCGTTCACTAGACTCATCAGTCAGGCCTCTCACACGCAGAGCTGTTCACCAACAAGGTCATAAGGTCAAGCATTAACAATGTACCAGTACACAGAATAAGTACACAGCTGTTCATATTTGGAATTTGAAAAAATAAAATTTAAGAAGTATGATTATTTCATACTAAGCTAGGCCTATTAACATCTAATTGTATTTCAATAGGAAATAAATTTTAACAAAATATTTCAGTAAAAATACAACCAGGCAAATGGAAATTCGCTTAGTCTGCACCCTTGGAGGGGGGGGGGGGTACTTTTAAATAGCTTTAAATTTATTTCAAATATCACTGTTATGTTTACTCTTACAATGTCATCCATCCTGCACATGTTTTTTAAGACAGTAAAATTTTGTCATTTATCATGAAAGTCTTTTGTAAAGGAGAACGTCCATACAGTTGAGTCGAAATCGTAACAATAGCATGTGCTCGTGGCAAATTATCAGCGTCCCTGAAATAAATATCATCTATCTCCCCTGGCCACATAGACATCATCTTTGTCTTCTGCATTCGCGCAACATCGTAAACATCTTCTACAGCCTCAGCAAAATCATAAACATTCACCTTGTTTATGGAGGCTTATCATGGTCTTCTGTAGTTGCAGCTAAATGGTAATCATGTGCGATCATCATGGAGACGTTGCCTTCGTCTTCCATGATCAAGGCGAGATCAAGAATTTTTGATTGCACAATCTTTGAAGACGCTTTTGGGATCATTATTCCGGGTGTATAATGCAGCTTATTTTACACTTTCTGCGACAATGTCACTCTCACGATTGGTATATTGCTTTGAGGAAAATATTGTTTTAAAATTAAATCTACTTCATTACAAATTAAATAAATGTGTAAAAGTAAATTGGTCTTGCTTTAAAAAAAAACTTACTAGTGGGTCATCAAAATCGTACTCACCAGGATGATTTTGGGATGAAGACGAAGCGTATGGCTTCGAACTTTCTACGGCTTCCACCAGCTTTGAATCAGAATTTGAAACAGGTGAATCAGGTATGGATCTGCTTCCTTGTGGTGCATTCGAATTTTTCCCACTAAGATAATTCTTCAATCCTCCAAAAACACTCTGTAAATTAAGAATTTTTGTAACCACTAAATACACTAATTGCACAATCTGTAATTGTATAAAGATACTGTAGATGATCTGTTGAAAACAAAAACCCTTTAAGTAAATGAAGTAGATCTGGTCTACACTTTTGAATAGTACTCTTAATCAAACACTTTACAATATTTTCTTTATGTGTACCGGTAGTGGATTGATAAAACACACACAAATTTAAAAAATATTAGTAGTTTTACAGAACTTGGTAACAAACAATGAAAACATTTAGGGACTTTTTTTTCATTTTCAAAGAATATCATACTAACCTAGAAGTCCCACACAACTAGAAGTAAAGTACATACCTACTAAAAAAGTATAAATTTAAAACTTACCTTGATACCCTGAATGTGCTTTTGACTGAACCTAAGTGTACTGTTGATGTCATCAAGATGTTTTTCAGTTCTCTGTAATTGCTCCCTTTGTCGTAGTAATTCCTAAGAAAATTAAAAGAAATTAAGTAGGTAGGCTAATGGCTATGAAACAGAATTATAAACCATGTTCATTTGAGACACTATTAAACACATAGGTTACCAATGGCTCATAAACAAAATCACAATACAGTCTAACCTCGGTAAAACAAATTCCTCGATAAGAAAATGTTTTTGTATCCCCTTGAAACTTTCACATAGGACCATTCTAAAAACACCTTTATACAACGTAGTAATTAAGTTAAAAACCTCCATAAAACAAATTTGTTTGTGACATGGGCTAGAACTGATTAACCTCTATACAACAAATATTCTTAGCACAAAACCTCTACAAGACAAACGTGACCTCTAAAGGACTAATTTCTTATAATCTTAACCTCCATAGTACGTAGTTTTCAAAACAAACAGAAGCTTGTCTCAACATGAAACCCCAACCCATCCCTCCTCCTTCCTCAGTCATTAATTGGCACGTGCCTGTGAACGGTCCAGTGACCTTCCGGCTGGGTTTTTCCCTTGTTTTAGAGTTGTGGGTGTCTTAAGTGTACAGTAATGGCAGGGAAAAGTAAAAAACGGCACTATCAGTAGAATTATTCATTTGTAATAAGTTTCTAATATTGTACCAAAAAGTTTGGTTTTCATTTATAGTGTACCACTGTATTTTGACTTCAGTTTTGTTTTTAATTTATTATAGCCTACAGTAGGCCTACATGGTTTTCCACAGTTTATTGTTCTTGTTTTGATAACTTACTTATGCGATTTATACATAAACATATATTTTTTTAAATTGCTACAACCATGTTTTTCTTCCCTAATCCTACATTGAAAAAATAACTTTAATACAGTACTGTAGGTCTAACAATGACACTACTGTAGGTATGGCAGTACTGTAGGTAACAATGATTCGTATTATAGAGGTTGGCCATAGATTCGTTTTATAGAGGTTATCTTAGAGCGAGGAGAAACCACTATAAGAGGAATAACAGCCGTATTAAACCTCGATAAAACGAAACTCTATATTAAAAATACCTCGATAGTACAAATTATTTCCTAACCCCAAGAAATTTGTCAATATAGAGGTTCAACTGTAATATGAACCAGCTGTACACACAATGATCTGACCAATTAGACCAATGTGTGAGTGCCGTGTGAGTACAGGTATCAATGACCTGTAGCCCAGTTAAGAAACTGTACCTGGTATCCGTTACATCCTCCCACTAATAACCCTCCCCTCAATTACTCTTACGCTCTGGGGAGTCACGGAAGTCGGGCCTTCCTGACGGTTTAGTCAATTTTGACCCTCGCGGCAAAGAATAGAACAGCCCTCACTCCGTTCCAATAATAGTGGGATTGCATTGTAGGTGTACATGAAACAAACTTAGGCTAAGTTAGCATCTTGTAATATTATCGTAACGGGTCTGTATCTTGCTTATGTCTTGACTATGGTTAGACTACCTATCTGAATTTTTTGCTTAAAATAAATTCTGATTCTGAACCGCAGTTTTTACGGCAAAATATTACGGCCTACTTAATTAGCTTACCTCTGCAGTTGATACACCAATTTCTTCTGTGGCTAAAAGCGTTGATAATGATCTCTGTGATGTCTCAACAATTCTTGCTTGAATTTCCTTTTGCTTTTCCAAGCGTTGCTGATGGAGTTGATCAATGTTACTCGTTTGTGAATTTTGGACATCACCCATCATGTACCCAGATCTTCCAGATTGTGGATGTCGCAAAAACTCATCATCATCAACTTCGTCTTCGACTGAGAACAAAGCTGATTTGTTGTTACTTAAATAGTTAGACATACTTCTTACCGTATCTTAGAACTCTCTTTGTTAACAAATAATCAAGCAAGAACACGATCTTTGGTTTAGTATGGTTAGCCTTAGAGTAACCTAAAAGTAGCAGAAGCACTTGCAGTATGTAATGTAATGTACTGTACACTTATAACAGAAATATTTAAAAGGAAGCCAAGAATAAAATTGTGATTTTTTATGAATAAGTGTCTTACTGAGCTTCTTTTAATCAAGTCCAACCAAACTCAGACGATAACGATAAAAATCAGTTATCAAATGACAAATGATGACAGAAAAGAACAACAGACAACGACAACAGACAGAATGAATAAAAAGAAGAAGAGAGAATGACGAGTTAAGATTTTTTTATTTAATTTGCTTGAAAGCAGTCTGAATAATTTGTATGCAGCTTCGTTGTTCACTCGTTATTAATATTAACGATTCCGTTGTTTTCATTGGTATTATCATAGACTAACCAACGTTTTATCTATGGTATTATGGTAATTTATTCATCAATTTTTTATTAACGTTTTTGTTACATTTTAGTGGCGTTTTTACATTTTGGTTTTGTTGTGTTTTGTAAGTGCCTTGTTAAAGGATAGTATTTACTGTAGTAGAATTCTAAGGTCTTAATGGGATTTTTGTGAGACGGGTTGGGGTTGGAGCGTTGGGGCAACATACTCCTCAAAGAAGTACGAGCTTGAGGAGTATATTTTAAAACATACTCCTTGAGGAGTATGTGTTATATATGGTTTTATCTACGGTTGGGGTCTTCTTGCTTGAGGCACGGCCGCCTTTAACTCCAGGTCGCGACCTTCGAAGTAACCATGGATGAAGAAACCAAAGGATTTAACAGAATTTGTGTAAGTGTTTGGTTTCATATTTTTTGTTTACATTTTTCTCTTTATGAAATTGTGGATGTCTGAGTTCTTGGTACCTATAATTTTTATGTCAGTTCCTAGAATTTCTGGTAAAGAGTCAGAGCTGTTCCATTTCTGGATCATCTTCCTGTATTAGTTTGAAACACCTATTCCTGGCGGATTCATCTACCGGACATAAGATAATTATATGTTGTACTGATTTCTTTCAACCAGCTTGATTCCTTACAGCTTTTTTATGCCAGGGTGACAGTTGAATAGAATAAAAATTCTAGTGGTATGGAATCTGGTAATAAATGTTGAGGATGTTTATTATATTCAACTGGCACCCTCTGGCACATTAGAAAATTTCTTATGCGCGGATGATGATTTTACAATTTTTTCTAGTTGTTGGTAGGCTTTAAATTTGGCTTAGTCAGCAGTATAGTATTACGTCATATACACTACCATCAAATAAAAAAAACGCTTTATATTTATTAATCTATACCGTGAATAGTGTGAGCATAGAGAGTGTGTAAGCGGAAAAGAAAGTGCATCAGGCATTTTGCTGGACGTACAAAAAGCATTTGACACAATCAACTGGAACAATTTGCTACACAAATTTCAACACTTTACAAAATCAATGTGAGTAGGCTACTTGATTTGTTAAAAAAGTAATAAACAACAATATGTAGAATTGGAACAACAGATCAACATTAGCTTAACACAAAATAATCTTTACTAAGAGCATAGAACAACCACCAGAGGCGTGCCTCAAGGATCAATACCACCACTGTCCACTGTCCACTATTTTTTACAGTCAACCTAAACAGTTTCCCGGAAAAAGTTAGACAACAACTCAGATACATAGCCTACTCTTCACAGATGACTGACAATCATACTTCCCACTGACCAATCAGCAGATAACACAAATATCACCAACGAAATACTTAACATAAAATATGGTATCGCCACCTGGGGATCATTCAGCAAGCTCAAGAAACAATAAAATGATCTTAATCATCCAAAAGAGCACTATCCAATCAATCCTGAGACTCCACTACCCAGAACACTGTAAACCCCTTTTCAAAAAAAGCTCCTAACGATAACTCCCCAGTATATATTTGACACAATAATCTTAGCCAAAAATCATACCTCATCTCACGATCAGATAAACACGCTTACAACACCCTAAACAAACACAACATTAACACAAAGAAATGGTGAAAACAAAAAATCAAGCAATAGCCCCATCAATACACACACATACTTTTACTTTTACAAGTTGTTACCAGGGTCTCCCGTGGCATAATAAACATCGTCATCGTTTTTCGATATCACGACTGTATCTTGAATCTTGAATGCATCCCGCGGTCTCACCTTGATGTGTGGAGGGAGACCTCATCTCATGGTCTCCCTTGGTCACGGAAACGTCACCTTTTTCCGCGATGTCGGTGAGCGTTGACAATAGTCCCTGGACTTTGGCACACTCCCCTTTACAGTGGGGTTTGTGGGGGTGTTATTTACGCCACTGAGACATCGATATCTATAGAAACCTTTGTTATGTTATATGAACGATTAGGGGTTCCCATAAGGTCGACAATATATTTTGTCTATCTGGGATCATATGCTATATCCTATAGAATCGTATGAAAAGATGCCTGTTTTTTTTATATATATCTCTGTAGTTTATTGTTTGCATTTTGCACAGCGTGGAAAGATATCTTAAAACCAAAACAAAAAAGGAAAAAATAACCAGTGCTGCTTCCTTGATATTACTATCTAGTGTACCTTGAGGTTGCATGGATTTTTAAAAGCCATGTAATAATCATCAAGCCATCAGCTTAAAAAGAGAAAAAAAACCTTCTGTCACTGTCAGCTGAGCTCCAGAGTCCAGAGTCCAGCTGGAGCCGAGTGGCGTATTGTATTATTATCAGGGTTTCGAATTGGTGGGTAATTACCCACTTTGTGGGTATTTTAAGCTATGGTGGGTATTTTTGCGGGTATTCTATTTTAGTGGGTAAAATAGGGTATTTCATGCTCGCTTCATGGTATTTTTCGTTTTTAGTGCATTGGGAAGTTTCTGCTTTAGCAGGCTTCATGTTTAGAATCAAACCTTAAAAACATTGGCAACTTTTTTTGCCTTCAGCAAAGCCTTTTTTCTTCTTCCACTTCTTCGATAATTCCTTGTTGCGATACCACTGTCTTTCCGATATTTGGTATCGATACCGTATCGCAAAAAAGTAACGATACCGGCTCAGTATCGGAACTAAAGTATCGATACCATTAGTATCGGAACTAAAGTATCGATACCATTAGTATCGTATCCATTCGATACCAGTGACGTCATATTCTGATTCACTGATCTTCGATTAAAGTTCACTCGTTCCAGTACAGTGCAGCCAATATGGGATTCGAATTCAAGCTGCTAAAAACTACCTAAATATGTAAAACATTGATAAAATTAACCAAACATTGCCAACCATTGTTTTCAATTTTACCTTCAAGTATAAGTTCAAGTAGGCCTAAGCTTACCATAAGTTCTAGGCCTATATAATTTATATTTTCAATAGACAATGTTATTAAATTACCAACGTAACGCATTCGTGTTTACCATCAGCCTAAAAAAAGTTTATTTTTTAGTTAAATAACTTTAAGTGCGGTGCCATCTTTTTAGTTTATTTGATGTTAAATAGTCCATGGTTTCATTTTATTTGCCTAACACAACGTTGCTAACATTGACTTGTAACAAAATTAACTCTGCAACTAAACCCTTAAGTTGTATCATTGATTAAATATACGTCTGTAGGTATATATAGTCAATGGTTTTACTTATAGTTATGTAAAGTTCTATGGAAAGTGAATCATAATTTACTCAAACCACATATCAGACAAGCTAGATAAAAAATATTTAATTGGGTTAAAGTTTTTTTTTTTACAAAAATACATCATGTCCATTTATTTTGGGTAAAATAGTTTGATATATATTTCAATTATATATTTTATGTCATTACACCACATATTACTCTTATTCAAGCTGAGTGGGTAATAGTGGGTATTTTTAGGTAAAGTGGTGGGGAAAATTACTGAAGTGGATTAGAAACCCTGATTATTATTGAGTGTCGCTCCTCGCTCGTTCGTCACTGTCATTGTCATTTTCATTTGCACGTTTGCTTGATATATCAATCTCAATCCTGTAGCTGTAATTTATAACAAATTCTTCAGAAGCAGTGAAACAGTATATTGTGCAAATTAAGGAATTTAAGTTTCCTATATTTCTGTGACATCGGTTCAAATAATTTATCTACCTGATTGTTTAAAAGGGTGATGATTTCCTGTTGATATAATTTGGTTTTTTCATAGTTAGTTATTCCTTTCACGTTTCCTTGATTTTGTTGGAGACCTTTCGTACTACTGAAATTGGTAGGCTAGATGCCGTTAAAAGAAAGGATGAAAGACTCAAATGATACGGAAGTAACTGTTATAGATGTCTATGATATTGCTTCAGAGATTGGGAAAGAGTTTGAGAAGATGATTGATTGTTATGGGTCTGAAGCAGTTACTGGGCTCATGCCTAAAGTTATTACAGCTCTTGAACATTTAGAAGTACTAGCTGCCAAAAATGAACGTGAGAACTCGTACATGCAAGAACTAGAAAATAAAATAATGAAGCTTGAAAGTGAAAAGATTGAAAAGGCCGAAGATAAGATCCGTTATGAAAGAGTAAGTTGTAATAACTTAGGCTATAATCCAATCTAGTAAAATAGGTTCCCTTTATTTGGTGTTTCCTTAGGGTTTTATGCAATTTTTGTATAAAAAAAGGCAGTTTCTTGGATGTGGCTGAAGGACATGTTAGTAGTAGGCCTACTAAGTTAGTTCATGTTACAATGTTTGTTTATTTTAACACTTTTCTTGATACTTGTGTCGGGTACAGTTTCTTAACTGGGCAACACTAATATTGATTTATTACATCACAACATGATTAGTAAGCCTTCATTTGATTTTATTTACTATATCACTTATAAAATAAAAAGTAGCCTAATCTACGCAGAGGATACACGTCCGGTCACCGAACGTGGGTTAGGTGTCTGGCAGTCACCGGGTTGTTGTGTTGTAGGCCTACGATGTACGTACAGCCATCAGTGTTCGTGGTGAAGTGGATAGAGTACTCGGTTGTTTACAAGAGGTAGGCCCTACCGTACTTAGATCCCATCAGTGGTTGACACTAATTTTTTGGTGCACACTAACAAGATGGTGTGCCGATGCGAAACAATTGTTACTTATTGGTTGGTCCTCGTAGTACGATTTCCTGCTATTACAATATTTAGGGTTACAGCCCTTACCAAGTTTTATTTGCAGTTTTATTTAGGCTAACTTACTGAACATAGTTAGACCGACCTATTTAGGCACCAGCTGATTATT